TTTTAAGAGCAAACAGTTAATTTCCAAACAATAAATCACAAAGTGTCTCTCTACCCCTCTGTGCGCTTTGACAGCTCCGTCTCTCATTGCTACAGATGAAGGCTTACTTGAAACCACTTCAGTTTTCCTGAAAAAATTAAATCATATGCACAATAAAAGGCAGGGGTCTAACAAAGTTTCAGATACAGCTGTCACCAAAATAATCATTTTTATGTTATGATTGTTATGATGAAATGTAATAATTGCTTTTTTCCATTTTTTGTTCATTAATAATATAAGTTCAAAAAAGTTGGAACTCTAACAGCTTGCCTTACACATTTCAGATTGTTGATGTCTTCACCCTTTCTCTTTCTTTCTGTTTGTTTGTCTGTCTTCTCTCCCCTCTAGGACTGGCATGGCTATGTGGATGGGCTTAAATCATTCACTCAGCGTCACAGCCTCGATGGTCTGGTGGTTCTCTTGTCCATCAATGATACAGTTCATCATCCCCGCCAGCAGGTGGCTGTCTACTCAAACAACACAGATATCCTAAACCAGGTAATCAGCTGTAAGACAGGCAACACAGCCATCTATGTTGAGTGACACACAAGCACTTATTTTGGTCTTCTTTTGGTAAAGAAATAATTTCCATTTTAAAAATTACCTCAATTCCTAATTAATATATTTCATTAACAAAATTACCAAGGACAACAGCAGCAACTTGACAAGAGGTTTCCTGAGAGGTGTGGCATGTTAAATGGGGTAATGCCCTCTAATAATGCTGCTCAAAAGATGATGGTCAGAAACCAGTTGGCACAAGTGTAGTTACGTCATTCTCACTCTTGTCAATTAGCGTTTCCAGAAATATCATTTTAAAAAGAAAAATGTAGCATGTTAAGATGAAGTGGCTGTCTTTGCAGATCTGCTGTGAGTTGGAAGAGTCCTCTAGCTGGTCTCTTTCTGGTGAACTGGAGGCAAAGGAGAATTTCCAGGTCTACCACATCCCTTTAAACACCCCCCCATCTTCTGGTACTCCATCTCTGCTGGAGGAGGAAATCCAGGGCCTCCTCAAGGACTTTGTGGACCGACGGAGCTCTGTTTTAGCCTGCCACCCCAGCAGTAGGACCTCTTCCACGGAGGGAGTAGCAGGCAGTGTGGAGTTTTCCCAGGGATCATCTGGTATCAATGACATGGATGGTTCTGACATAGAGAGGCCAGAAGGAGGCAATGATGTGGTGGCAATAGCAAGGTATTAAATGCAAACCTGAATGTATGTTTTTTTTCATACAGTGTCAGTAAAAGTCATCAAATCAAGATATTTGATATTTAATATTATTTATTCACAATTTTAGGAACTGACAAAATTCAATGAGATTGTTGTTTTATCTCTGTAAATAGGCCGATGGCAGTTGGTGAAGAGGACACAGGAGCTGTAGGAGTCAATGCTGGTGGGGAGTTAGTGAGCCCTGACAGCGGTATGACCACCATACGCAGCAGCCGCTCCTCCAAGGAGAGCTCAGTGTTCCTTAGTGATGACAGTCCGGTTGGTGAGGTTACAGCAGGAGGAGGTCCAGCAGCTGGGCCAGGAGGACTCTTCCTGAGAAACCCCTCTCCCCTGGGGTTGTTATCTCTCTCCCCTCCTGTCCCACCTGAGAGGAGGAAGCAACGCTCTAGCAGAAATAGGAGTGACAACTTTGACCTGTTTAGTTTTGACCCACTACATAGCAGTGACCACTCTTTGCCAACAGGAGGGGAACTAGCAAATTCTGAAGTAAGAGGAGATGAGGGAGAGAGAAGAGCAGGGAGCTCCGTCTTATCAGAACTAGAAGAACTGAGCTTTCTGGACTTCTCTGCTACTAATTCACTAAATGGGCTTGGAAGTAGAGATTCTTCAATTGACCACCATGGTCAAATCCATGGGCATGAAATGGTTGACACTGTGGTTCCTCCGACCCCAGTCAACAGCCTGGTAGGTAGCCGCCCACCAAGCAGTTGCGGGGTCCGGTTCTTCCCAGAAGATGTAGCTGAAAGGATCAATGGCCTACAGCACAAGGACAGTGTGTCATCATCCTTGTCAGAGACCTGGGATGAACTTGGCTTTGACACCCAAGGAGCATTGTCCTCAAGTGATAATAGTGCCTGGAATAGGACCAAGGAATCTGAGAGCCCACAGAATATTGTAGAGGAAGTTGGAAGCAAAGAGTCAATCGGTGACATGACAGAAAAAGAAAGCAGGGAGGAGATCTCTAAGTCAGAGAATACCCACAGGAGGGGAAAGAGCCTTGAACCTCAGCTTAGTCTGGTCGCTGAGCAGACTGAATTATACGGAAACTGGAACCCAGATTCTGTACTGAAGGATCGGTGGAACCCTGTTTCTTTGGCTGATCTGCAGTTGACACCACCTGAGGAGGAATTAACAGCAAAATGCAAAGCTGGTGTCATTGGAGTGACAGAGAAAATGCCCTGTTTGTTGAAAAAGAAAGGAATCCTAAACACTTTAACACCAGACACATCTAAAGAAGAGGAGGAAGGGGTCCAAGGAAAAAAAGGAGACCAACAGATGGAGCTCCTAGACTTCTGGACATACTCGGCTCAAAAGGGATTTCTCAAATCTGATAGCGGAACCACCACATCTTACCCTGAATCACTAGATATGTGGAATATGACAATCCGGGATGACAGTCTATCACCACTCACAACTCCTGACAACTTGTCTGAAAACTCAGGTTCTTTCTGTGGTGTGAACCTCAATGTTGTGGGTGGCACGTCTGTGGAAAGTCCACCAGGATTCTCTGATGGTGGAATGCAGATGTGGAACACCACCATACGGGAAGACAGCTCTTCGACTATAACAAGCCCCGAAGGACCTGAAAATGGAAAGGACCTCAGTCACATGGGATCACCAGATGCCAGTGATTCTCCAGGGTCATATGCTAGAAAACAGCCAGAAGAAGAGAATGCTATGGAGGAGGAGAGAGGTTTGACTAAAGTAACTAATCTAACACCTGAAGAAGCAGATTGGATATGTACTGAACACAATGTAAAGATAGTCATAGAGGCTGCAGAAGGTAGAGCACAGAGTGAAGAAACAGGGGATGATGATATGCAGAGTGTTCAGAGCCAACAGTCTGTTATACTGAACTTGGCATCTGAACATTCAGAAGATGAGACGTCCCCATGCCAAGGCACTAACATGTGGGACTTGTCTATCCCTGGCATGGTCACCTCAACCTCAGAATATGACAATGTGGGAGCTGGTGTGTGGAGCCTGACATCCTCCCCTGAGACCTATGCTAGCCCCATGGTGGACACGATACAGCTAGAGGGGCAGTCTAGCCCTTTTATAGCTGTGACCAAACCTATTCAGATAGATGAGACGCACGATCAATACCAGAAGGCTTCTTCTTTGGGAAAGACTGAACACAGAGCAGTAATTTCAGATAAAGAGCAGTCAGCCAACCAAGTGTTCCTGTTTGAAGGAACTACTGAGTTGGGTCACATGACCAGGAGTGGGGGAAGTTCAGCTGAGAGGAAGCATGACAACAAAAGCAGAGAAGAATCAGAGGAGGCTGATTGGACAGAGCAACCCACCAATTACTCCCCATTTGTCATGGTGGACTCATCCTCCATCACTCAGCAAATTTCAACAAATTATCATTCAAGTCCAGGAGAAGCTACTGAGACTCAAATCCAGACTGACCAGTCATTATCCCCAAGTAATATGAATTGGGACGGCTCGGAATCAGCTTCATTATCATGTGATCTTCCATTCAAAATGGCCTACAATGAAGATGGGACTGCCACTGAAAGCCAAGTGGGGACTAATAAAGAGAGCAATGGAAATGTGGAGTGCAAAATAACAGAATCTATGTCTCTGAGCTGCAGCAATGGGGGGAAGAGAGACGCACTGAAATGTAGCCCTGACAGCCTTCAATCACATAGTCGAGACGAACTCAGGTCCAATTCTGACGGAGAGTCATCTTCAGGCCTAGAAATGGAGTACATTGTTGTGTCTGGAACAGTAAAAGAAGCCGAGAGAGAGTGGCATGATAGGCCTAGACAGGATGACAGACAATCAAAAGGAACAAGAAAGTCCATGGAAACATTTAGCATGCTTTTCTATGCTGCCACAGTACTGCAAACCCAGGCCCAAGCTGCAAAGGGGGGGCACCAGGAGAACACAGAGCAAAGTAGGCAAAACCAAATGACCGGAGGTACTGACAGTACACTTAGTGCAGATACAGAGCAAAATCGGGCCATCTTATCCACTCATTACCAAGCAAATCTGGATAATGCCACAGAGCATCACATGGTGCCAGAAAGTATTAGTCCTAGCCAATCAAAAAACACCTCAGAAGCTTCTCATCAGTCAGTTTCAAGACCAACAGGTTGCAGTCAAACACAGGTAGAAGAAGGAAACTATGACGATAAATCAAGCATCGTTGTCAGAAGTGTGTCTCCATCCTTAAGATATCCATCAGATCACTTCCTGAAAACCAGACAGGAAGTGTATGTCCATTCACAGATCTCAATGGAAGACTCAGATGAGGGTGGGCAGTCACCCTCTGCACCTCCACCATGCCCTACTTCTTTGGGTGACATTCAGGACTGGGGAGATCAGTTAGTGAGACAGGACACAACTCAAACCACATCTGAAACACAATCTCCTGTGCTTACCAACAGTTCAGTCTCCCACACCAGCTCTTTGACTGGCACCCCATTAAGTGAATCGGGTATTTCTACTGACAGAGGGCTTGGATTACCATTTTCTGGAGATTTAATGGAAGAGGAGAATGATGAGGAAGAGCAGGAGGAAGAACCTACTACGGAGCACATTTCCCCGACAAAATGGACTTCAGAAGTACAAAGTGAGAGGCAAGAAAGACAACCGTTGGGATCTTCTGATCTGCTAAATTTCACTGAGGAGCTGAGTGGAGGTTCATCAATTCATCAACCAGATTTACAAACACTCGAACTAAAGCGGGACAGGGTCCTACAGAATACATTGGATTACTATGATGGACAACCTATAAGGACTGCTGATCGTGATAAATGGTCCACTGACCAACAGATTGGAGGCCATGAAGCTTCTCATGATAGCTATTCACTTGTTTTAAGGTAAGCAACGCATCTCAAATCATACACTTTGTCTTAAGCTTTCTGCTGTTCTTCTCCTGTCACATTTACTGTTACTCAAAAGTCAGTACAAGTACATAAACACTAATAACATGCCAATGAATTATCTCTCCATAAAAAGAGATAATATGGAAGTTACTAGACCATGTACTTATCTTAAAAGGTTGGATTACCCAAATTGTAAAACTTTTCTCATGTACATCTCTTGTCCAGAATATTTTGCTATGCAGATAGTTTTCCTTTGATTTTCAAAGATTTTGAGATTGAAATTTCTGCCTCCACCCCAATACAGTGCGAGTTAAGGGAACTTTGTTTGGGCTGATAGGCTTCCAGTGAAAAATGTAGAGCTATCCTTATAGCATTTTTGCTTTTGTTCATCACAAGCTTTCTATTCTCAGAATGAGTGAATCAAAAGTGAGTGAATGAACATGCCTGTGCACACTTGTGTCTGTCCTGCACACACACACACAAACACACACGTGCACGCATACACATGTGCCAACCACCCCCTCCACCTGTGCTCCCTTAGTTCTCTGCTGGGTTTTTCAGTCTCTACAGCTTTCTCAACAAAATTTGTATGTCAGAGGAATATTCAAATTGTTGAACAGACTGTCGAAATAAAGCTAGAGGGCCCTCCTGAGGAAGTGTGTGTGTGTGTGTGTGTGTGTGTGTGTGTGTGTGTACATGTCTTTCTATGGTTGTGTGGACAAATTTTGCAATTTTGGTTTGACACCATCTTTGTGAAGACATTTTAGCCGGTCCATCAAAGAGCTGTTTGATGGTTAAGACTTGGTTTTAAGGTTGAGGTTGAAATGAGATTTATGTCAGGGCCATGGTTAGGGCGAGGCTAAGGGTTAAGGTTAGGCATTTATTTGTGATGGTTATGGTAAGGGGCTAGGGAGTGCATCATGTCAATGAGTGTCCTCATAAATATAGAAAGACCAATCTGTGTGTGTGTGTGTGTGTGTGTGTGTGTGTGTGTGTGTGTGTGTGTGTGTGTGCGTGCGCTCATTCACATTTGTAAGAAACAAACTGTGGATGTATTTCATGTGTTCGGCAGCCAGCTTTCATCTGCAGCTCTGTGTGTGTGTTTATAAATCTGTTTACGCCTCATTAAATATGCATTACCTGCCTCATTACAGCTGGAGCCCCACCACAGCTAATGGAAACAGCTCCCCTAGCTCTCTTACAAGGTGTGGATGTGTGTATGCGTGCAAGACTGTGTGTGAGTGTGTGCATAGGTAATACCCAGTGCATCAGAGAATAAAAGTTTGTCCATGTACTTTCAACTTTACATTAGCAAAGAGTACATAATGTATTTAAGTCTGTGTTGTTTGCTTTTGTGTAATTGTTTTGAATATACTGTATGTGAAGCAGATTGTCTACTACTGCAGACAAGTATTACAAGGTATGGTTTTATATGAATGAATTGTTTATATTGAGTTGTGTAACTAGCTTATTTAATTTTTTCTCCCTGGATTTAAGCATTATTTAAAGTTCCCTGTGGAGTTTTCTTATAAACAAACAAACCTGTTACTCACCAAAACACTTTGTTTGGATCATTAAAGCCTAACAGATGTGTTGAATACATTTCCTTCCTCAGAAATAATTTTCAACACATATTTTTTTGGAACTTTTGAAACCTGCCTTGTTTACATCCATCTTTTCCTTGCTAGCAGTCCTCTTCTTCCCTGCCTTTGCTGAGACATTGTTGTGTTTCTTTAGAAAGATATATTTAGAGGAATAATAGCAGGTATGCATATCACATCACCTGTGTGCTCATGTGCATGCATGTGTGTCCTTGTGCATGTGCTTGAAAACCAATGGCACATGGGCCCACCCATAAAAACAATAGTCCATAGTGCCACTAGTGGTCAAAAACTCCACAGGGCACCTTTACTGTGAGCCTGGGGTATTTAAACACACCAGTCTGCTGAACAAACTGGGGCAATTGTACAATGAAAATTTGATATCAGCAAAGGCCCCTAATGTAAGGGTTTGAACGTGTGTTTGATATACCGATTAAAGTGGAACTCAAAAGATTTGTATAGTTCAAAAATACATGATGAAGTTCACTGTATTCCATTTGTATTCACAATTCTTTATGAATTTCTCTTTCTCTCGGCGCTGATCCTCGATCACCCATTCCCCTGGACGAAGACACCAAGATATGACATCCCAGCCAATGTCCCTGCCAACCAATGAGAATGCTGCATATCAGTGGACAGGAAGTCAGAATGTAACTCAGGGTCAAACCCAGTATGGCTACAACTACCACCACATTGACCAAAGAACTGAAAGCCAGAGCATGCTCACAGCTTGCGTAGATACTAAATCCAGCAGCCAACAAAACACCACAGATGTCTATGCTGAGTTTACTACTGATGCCACAGCTCTACAGTACGGGTCTGAGCAGGCTGAGAGCTATTATGAAGCTGGAGTTAATTCCCAGTACAGTTTGGAGGATCCAGATTCCAAGTTTCAGTACATAGCTGAAAGCCAGTACGGAGAGGATTCCAACTCCATGTGCGTGTCTGAACTTCAGTGCTCTCAGTATCAAGCTGATGGCCAGTGCCAGTATGAGACAGACCATGCTCATTACCAACGTGAAGGTCAGCCATTCTATCAATCAGATGTCCACCATGAGAGAGAAGATCATGCGCGGTATGTGCCCGAGGGATATGTTCACTTTCTTCTGTCAAGGTGAGAGGTCACACATACAGACTCAATTTTTCCTTTTGACAGGTCCAGCATTGTTTCCTAGAACTGTCTAAGATCTAAAATTTCTTTCATTGTTTTTTCTAGAAAGTTGAAACCTGATTATATATGTTTTCTATCTATATTATAAATGTGTGAAAGAAAGAGAGATAAACAGTGGAACAGCATTGCTTTTCCAAAGGCTAAGCGCTGCACTACTGTTTTTTTATCACATAGTTTTTTCTCAATCAAAAGTCAGAATCAAAAGTCATGTTCAGTATTTGGTTCAATATTTACTGTGTGTATATGTGCAAATGTGTGTGCTGAAGTTTAATTGGACCTCGTTAGCAGTTTCATCATGGAACTTGCTTTTCCCCCACTTTGTAATTCTGATGACCTGGCCCCTCTCTGGGACACACAACCCTCCCCTGTCTTTTACTCTGTGTGAGTGTGTTTGTGCACACACTCAACAGACTTTTCCATAATCAAGTGGTCATGTGATTTGATTGTGGAAAGAGTGGTTCAGTCACTCGTGCTGGGAGAACACAGCCAGAGAAAGGTAGGTGTCTTAAGACAGAGCTTGTGTTTAAAGACAAAAAAGAAGAACGCTTGTATGTACATGTGTCTCTTTACATCTGTAATGTGGATTTGTACTGGTTTTTCTGCACTGCCTCTCTCTATTGTTAGCAGGCCTTATGCTAATCAGAGTCTGTTAGTGGGGCTTTGGTTGGGGGGAGGTAGCAACACTGCTCAGTATTGTTTCTTCTGCCCACACGTGCAGCCTGGGAATGAAGCAGTGAGTCGCTTTCTGTCCGTCTGCTTTGTCACTTCTGTAATCTTTCATTTCTGGAGTCAAACGAACAGATTTTAAACTCTTCCTCATTCAATGTAATGGGAAAAGTTAGATTCTTGTTCTCTGTAGATGATTATCTTTGGCTTGTTTGGCCCAATACTATGTGTAGCTGTGCCTATGGTGGCAGTGGTAATGGCAATGATCATTTATGTTGTGGCTCATTATTGTCTTTCTGTGCCTCTGAGCAGACAGTCTCAACAGAGAGACGGTGCAGCAGGAATGATGATGAAGACGGCCTCCAGTGAGGAAGCTGCTGAGGAGATCGATAACAGAGAAGGTAAATAAACAGCAAGAATAAACTAAACTTATATTGTTCAATCTTTGGGTATTTAGTGCTGGTGATTTATGTTGCACCTAAAGGTAAAAGTTTAGAGGTATAGGCTTAATAGCAATATTTTGAGATATTATCAATAGTTTCAAAAGTTTTGTGAATGTTTAAGCAACATTTTTTTATGTGTTTATGGCATATTTTAGCAGTCTGAAGCTAAGAATTATGATTTAGGAGGATCACTTGGATTGACTGACAAATGCTTAACACAAGTAGAAATGTACTCCTCCTTTCTTCATATAAAAACTCTCTACTTGCTTGTTCTGCCTTCTGTTGCCATAAAATCATGCGAGGTGCTCACATGATAATATAAATGCCAACTTTTGAATTTATGATCTTCTGTCATCATTATTTTTTCCAGACTTTCCCCTTTTACTGGATAAGCCAGGGGGCTACATAACATTTTGTAAGAACAATCTATGGCAATAAGATTAAGGCATCTTAAAACACAGTTACATAACTGGAAATTACAGTGGATCTGCAACCTTTCTCTACAAAAAGAAAAAAAAAAAATCAAACCATCTCTCTCTGACCAGACCCATCCTCCTCGGCAGATCTATCAGCCGGCTCTAACCAAAGGAGAAAGTTGGCAGCTCCGCCAATGAACGTGTCACTAGACCGCAGTGAGGGGTCTCTCCTCTCCGAAGATGCTCTGGACACAGAGGACGAGGCCTTGGATACTGGAGATGACCTGGATGTCAACATTGATGAGCTGGACACACCTGATGAGGCTGACTCACTGGAGCTTAACAGACACGGTGTGACAAACAAGACACAATATACACTTGTCTAAATGTACACAGGAGTTGACAGACAGACACATAAACATGCTCACGTGGTAACACATACTGTATTGTACAAAAATGCTTTGGAGTGTTCTTCTACAGTATGGGGATTTGGCAGCATTCATCATTTTCATTTTCAAATTGGATTTGGCTCAGGATTTGTCAGTAGCTCTTTCCACTGCATAAAATAGAAAACAAAATACAAATACTCATTATGTTTGCTGCCATGTAACCTTGTAAAATTTTCGTATCACTGATGTCACACAGGGGATTCAGAAGAGTCTGATCTGGGTGCAGGAGCAGCTTCAAGAGATGCCATCGCAGGACATGGATCAGCTGAGGAGAGCAGGGATAGCAGATTGTGGAGGAGCGTGGTGATAGGAGAGCAGGAGCATCGCATTGATATGAAGTGCATTGAACCATACAAAAGAGTTATTTCTCATGGAGGTATGCAAGCACAAATGCCAGAAATCCATGTCTACCAGTTTCTCCTATACTGTTGTGTTTTGTTATAGCTTTTGATCATTTTGATCATATTCTGAACATGTTGAACCAATGCTGCTGGACTCCACCTTTGGCCTGTCGAATTCAAATTCTGCTTATGGAATTTCAATGGGCACAGGAATTTGAATGTCCATTAACTTTAGCCTACATATCAACAATAGCAGTAACTACACAGTGAAAGGGGGGAGAGTGGGTTACAGAGGCATGATCAGAACAGTTCTCATCTTAATATGCATTTGAATCACTGAACTTACAGTAAATATATTCCAGCTTAATATTAGAAACTGCTATAATGAAAGGTTCAGTGTTTTATATCAAACGGGTGGATCCTAAATTCTGGGGGGTCGGTATTCCTAGACTTCAATTTATTTGGCTGAGTAGATCCTCTTTTGAATACGTTTCTATTAGCTGTGTTGTGACTTAATTTGTTCTTTTATCAGTGCTGTATTGATGATTGCTTCTTCAGCAGCTCTTAGTTTCAGTTACTCAAATTGGCAGAGATTGCTTTCATAGATGGCTACAGACTACAAAATAAGCACCTGCCATGTTAACAATGGAGCTAACTGATGGGCCTTGAATTTGTGGGTCACATTAATTAGATAAATAAGACAAGAAAAAAAACAGGTTTGTACATATGCACTGCAAGTGAAACCCACTGTGAGTGTCCTCTTTGTGTTTGTGTTTTATATTCTCAGGTTATTATGCTGAACAGAATGCCATCATCGTGTTTGCAGCATGTTTCCTACCGGACAGCGACTGTGACAATTACAACTATGTAATGGAAAACCTTTTTCTGTGAGTCATGTTTCACTACATGGCCCAAACGCATATGGGCATGCAAATAAAGTACAGGGCTGATAGCGCTCCGGCGCCACGCCGGATTTCCGGCGTACCGAGATGTTTGCGAAAAAAAAAAAATCAGGTTCAGTTCGCGTGATCTGACAATTCCCAAGATCCGAGAGGCGCTTTCACTCTAAACCACACCAGTAGGCATAGCCTACTTAAGCCAATCGGTAATAGGGTAGGGGGTGGTCTTGGGTTTTGGCCAATCAGATTGATTCAGCAGTCAGCCCACGTGCGAATGTGTTTTGTGTTTCCCATACACTATGAATGTGTTTCCCACACTGGCAGCGCGAAACATAGCCGAAGTCATGGAGTGCAGCTTTATGAAGCCAGGGGAAGACACCAAACTTGTCGATAAAGGTATAAAGAATAAATGGCGTTGGTCTTGGATAGAGGAGGTGAGTAGAGACGGAAAGCCCTTTGGAAGCTGGTGTCAAAAACTCCGGCAACCAGGAGCATGTTTCTGCACTTTGTGTGCAAGGAAAATATTATATGGAACTAGCAGGAAAAAGTGCTGCCACGGCACGAGTTCAACGCTAGTCATCAAGCAGCTTTACGAGCAATTCAACATACCTCACGTTTGCCGGGGGCAACAGCCACAGCAGATATCCGACCCTCAATGACCGATCGCGTGGCTGATTTAAAAATTCGCTTGTGCTCCTTCATTGCCGAGTATGATCTATCGTTTACAATCGCTCATCCACTCGTCACTTTGTGTCAGAAATTAGCGGAGGATAAACTCGCCTTTACGCATCTGTCTGTCTCGAGGCAGCATGCAAGCTATCTTATTACACACGGCATCTCACCAGAATTTAAAAGAAATCTGTGACAAGCTTGAGAATAACATGTTTTCACTCAACATTGATGAGGCCACGGACAAAAGCATGGATAAAATTGTAAATGTACTTGTCCGATTTTATGACGAGGATGCAGGCAGTGTGAAAAGTGTGGTTAGTGAGGTCCCCCCTCCATTGTAAAAGCGCTTTGGGTATCTTGAAAAGTTCATTCATTCATTCATTCATTCATTCAATTCAATTCCTAGTTTACTTTTGAGTATTATAATTGTCACCCACTGACCTTTCTTGGTATGGCTGTAGTATCCGTAGTCTCAGTATGCTATACAAGCAATAAGTACGCAGGTAAGTGACTAGTTAAAAGCAGGGATTGATTACTGAACAGGCCTACCAGGCCCATGCAGGGTCCCAAGAGCTCTGGTGCTCTACACGAAGATGCTACTGTAATATAGGCTTGTATTGGGTTTGTTCATCTCATGTCTGAGTAATGTACATTTTTATCCACAAAAGTCATCAGAATATTTAATTCAATGGACTATTTATCAAAATGTCCCAGGGGAGCACACCCCTGGATCCCGCTTGACAATTGCGTTGATCGGGGCATATATCTTAGCTTCGGGGCCCGCTTACCTCCCAGGGAAAAAAGTTCAGGCTCAGGATTTTTTTTTACTATCACCCCTGAAAGTATCATGTTGAAATAGGAAAATGGCTTCACCAAACTGTTAGAAGCAAAGTTGCAAGCACTCTTTTGTGTAAACATATCATGACATGCTATAGCATTAATGTTTCCCTAACTTCAATGAAGGGGCCTAGCCCAAACCTTGAAATAGCAGCCCTTGGTTTGTCCTTCTGTATAAACATTTGCCAGTCTAACACTGTTTTTTTTTGTCTGTGTGTGTAGGTATGTTATAAGTACCTTGGAACTAATGGTTGCAGATGATTACATGATTGTTTACTTGAATGGTGCCACACCTCGCAGGAGGATGCCAGGTTTCAGTTGGATGAAAAAGTGCTACCAAATGATAGACAGAAGGTAATATTCACACAAACAAGTGCACGTATGTATAATATTGTATAACTGTAATGTTTAACACACACCACACAGACATTGAAAAAGAACCTATCTTAAGCTCTCAATCTTATACTATGAAAAACTTGTTGGTGTTTTGTTCTCTGACCAGGACTTGTATTGGTTACTTGTACTTGTACTTGGTTACATGGTGCTGCAGATTTGATTACATACTGTATCACATAGATTTTAAGTTTTATTGTCATTGTGTTATGTTGTTCTCCAGAAAGTCTAAACCAGTAATGTAATGTACTGAAAGCAGTCTGTAATGAAGAATTTCAAATACATTTGTTTAATGAAAGAAAAATCCAAATCAACCCTGAAAGGGGGAATTAAATAATAAATCAGCAGGACCTACCATTAAAATGCTAATTAAAAAGATTACCAACTCAATATTGCTGTGGTGCCCATCAGTAGAACACTGTGCATGTGTAACTGACTAAATGTAATGCTGCGTTTGTATGAAAAAAATCTTGCGTGTTGTAGAGATGTGAGGAATCTCCAGGGAGTTGATGGAGTAGAAGAGACAATAGACAAAAATCTTAATACCTCAGCTGTAGTTTTATTGAGGGCAGATGTTGTTGGGGTGCAGGTCATGGTTTGAGCATATAAAAAAAGAGACGTATGACACAACTCTAGTAACAACAGCTCAGACAAGTGTCTTCCTTGTGCAAAAGTAAACTCTGGAAGGCAAACGTGTGACAGAACTACAGTATATACACACCCCAAGACTTTAAAATAAAATGAGTAAATGGTGAAACTAGTTTTCAAACCAAACTAGAGCTAACATCACCCTAGATTTCTGTTTAATATTTACGATTAGGCTTGATCCTCTTAATTGCTAATATTCTGTAATTTTATTGTGATAATTGATAACTCCTCTAAATGAATGTGGCAGGACTTTGATACTTTAACAAGAAAAATGAAAACATAATATATCACTTTACACAACTTGATGACTTGAAATGTTATCAATAGTCTCATTCTTCTGGTTAATATTTATGAAAACCAGCCACCATAGAAGAGGCCTATTGATATCTTATTTGCCTCTCTTCATCGCAACATAAACTGAGTTTCACTTCCTCATTCACGCTTTAAAAGACAGTCAGTAGTTCACTCTTAGCAATAGTTTACAGTATACATACCATGGACAATACCATATTCTGTTATGTCAGTGTTTGTGGGCATTAAATTGTAGCATTATATAACACATATGTTTTTCTCTCAAATAAAAGGGTGGACAGTAAATATAGTGCACCATACAACAGGGAGTGATTTTGGAAAAAAGTAAAATAAACAGTAAAATAATGAGGAGTCATCATCTCCTGAAATACTTACTTTTTGATGTGCTTTCACCAGACCACTCATGCTGTTTTTTCCTCTACAGCAGAACAACTTCACTGTGAAAAACCTTGAGCTCTGCTGATTGTTATAAATAATTTACACTTATATCAATGGAGATCTTGCTAACCCTTGCTAACCCCTTTTCACACCTTTTCTGCCTCTCCTCTTGTCCCACAGACTAAAGAAAAACCTTAAGATGTTCATCATTGTCCATCCTTCCTGGTTCATAAGGACTTTGCTGGGAATCACCAGACCCTTCATAAGGTCTCACCTTTGTACTTTACATTGAGATGACGTTTATCACAGGATGTACATTAGAGGTGTTCATAATTTCAAAAAATGCACACATTTTGTGACCTATCAGCCACAAATTAAAATGTGACATATTTAGACTTGTCACATTTTAATTTGTGGTGGTGTCAAGTGCTTATAGGTCACAAATTATGATTATTTCCAAGAAGACAGTTTGATTACAATGGAAATCCAGGAGCCAATTTACCACATCACAATGGTTGAATCAGTTCTTTTCAGTAGTAAAGCATTTGTTCTGATCGTTCTGATTTCTGTTTTCTACAGCTCCAAGTTCAGCAGTAAGATCAAGTATGTGAATAGTCTGCAGGAGCTTGGAGAAATCATCCCAATGGACTATGTCCACATTCCACCCAGCATCGTCAAGTGAGTCAGCCTGTATCAAAATTATCAATGGTCTGCATAAAGTGACAAAATATTAACCATGATACCAAATGAACTGTCCTACCTCCCATCCTCTGCAATTTTGTTATTATCCATTCCAGTTTTTTCCAGTTTCAAGTAGCAAATAGTATGTCCTATAGCGGGATCTTCAAGTATCTTTAGATATTTTGTGTGTGTTTTGTGTTGCCTTTCCTAGGTGTTAAATGCCATAGTCAATGACTGTAATCTCTGTTTAAACTGCTGTAATCACATCATAAAGACATAAATTGTTTTTAGAATACTTACCCAAAAAATACACACTGACATCCTCCTTGGAAAAAGGAAACAAACACAGTGCAAACTTTGATTTCAAGTGCCAAATTAGGCATGCTTATACATCTCTCACTGTGCCCAAAGGTATGACGAGGAGAGGTCTATACACAGATTTGCATGCATGAGGTAAATCACCTAACCTGCCTGTATTGATCAGTTGGTTGTGTAAAAGTCTCCCTGTAAAATCCTTCAAAGCTACTGTGAATTTTCTCATGCTGGGACTAACCTTACTGACCTTTGGCTGTCTCCTTATCCAACATAAAACCAGCCCAATATTGTTTTTCTTACTTCTTCCAGTCTGTGAAGTGGCTTTCCATTTAAACTGATTCATTTTACCTCTCATCTGTGACGTTTTAGTAGAAATCTAATGAATATACACAGTATACCCCTAGGTACCCTACACTAACAACAGATATACTGTACATAGTCACCCTCAAAGCTAAGCTGGTCTGATGGTTTGCTCTTGAGGAATTTACATGCAATACATAGTGGGACTGACACCAGACTGAAAACACAAATATCTCCATCAGTACGAATGGTTGTAAAGGGACTTTACAGACCAGCAGCACAGACTAAACTTTCTCATAATTGGCAGCAAATTATCCCCACAGTGTAAAATAATAAGTGGGTGAAGTATGTACAGCAACCACAAATACTACACAGCTTTATTGATACTACTACTAGATTGCACCAAAATGAAAATAAAATTCAAATTTTACACATAGTGGCTGTGGTGTTGTGAAGTTCAGTTGGTAAAAGTTAGGCAATGATAGCCTTCATGGTGAAAAGAAAACAACAATGACCAACTGTACAAGATCAAACCCAAACTGTGGACTCTGATCTTAAAGTTATACACTTTGTTGTACACCCAACCATCCACCCTAGTGCCCTCCTTGGGACTACGCTATAACAGTGTTGTCACAATACTTTGCTTCAGAGAGGACAGCAAATGGTCAATGCTGTCTTTTTTCCGGTCAGGACAGTCTCTGTGGAAGATACTGTAGCAATTTATACCCAGCTTTACTGTGTAAAAGAGAAAAAGGGTCTGTTTGTAGCTCATAAGACTCCCTAAAACACACGCGTTTTGGTGTGTTAGAGGAAATAGAGTGGAAATGTCTTATTCTAACTTTAACCCTGTCCATTATCCAAGAGGCCATGTCTTACACTTTTGTCCTTTCATGCCTTGTGCCACTGAGCATGGATTGAGTCTGAAAACTACAGACATCCATGTCCAGTGTTAAAGTGCCTGTGTTTAAGGGTAAAAATTAACTCTGGTGACTGTTTTATTGTTGGAAAATGATTGCACCCTGTATTGCAGTGCATCTGTGCCTCACTCCTCTGACCTTGAACCCTCCCACTTTAGAGCACTGATGCTTGTTTTCCTTTCCCCTTCATTCAAACTCTAATGGCATTGTTGAAACAGGCTTTTAATCCCCAGCCACTGCATGTTTACTGACAATTTCACCACAACCAGCACTTGTTTGACTTCTTCACTAATCCTTTTTCTTTGCCCTCCAACCCAATGCAAAACCAGACTGGATACAGATTTGCAGGACACAGCAGCTAAGTGAGTAGTGCACCATTGGTTTCTGTCAGTGAGTGAATTTAACTGAGACAACGAAGGAAATAATTGCTGTTCTTCTCAGATCCACAATATTCAATAAACAGGAAAAATGTTTGGTGGATTTATTACTGCTGTGTCCTAATTCTTTATCGCAAGTATAATTGTAATATGCCATTTTAAACGTCTGTGTGAACTATAAATCTCTCTTTAACTATTTTTCTTTCAGTCAGTTACCTGAGCAGTTTATCTTATCTGGTGACCTAACTGTTTTTAAACCTGAGACAAACCACCTGATCAGTCATAAAGAGATACCCAAGACATGGACACATACAGGCACATCATTTCACGTGTACTGTGACATACATAAACTAGCCAAGGCTTTGGTCTAACTGTAAAGCAATGATCCTTGTTGTATTTGATTAATCTGTTGTTATGAATGAGGAATGAAACATAACTGATACCATAGAATGAAGAGATAATCATATAACCAACCTGCTGCATGGCAAACTAATTTCCCTTGAGTTTTATTATTTTCAGAGTAGACCATCTTTAAAAATACCACAGTGAATCTTACCTATGAATTCAAGAGTAGGCCTGGTAGCCACTGAACAAATACTGATTTTGCAGTATTGCAGTTAACAGGAAAACTTAATGTATACTTAATGCTAGTAGGTGTTTATCATGTCCCATTTCAGTTACAGTAAGGGGTGGGCGATATGGCAAAAATATCATAAAATAAAATCACGATTTCGATTTTATCACGATCTTAAATTGGAAAAAGAAAAACAGACAATTTAGACCAAAGAACCTTTCTTAACAGATTTTATTTCAAATAGTCGCAGTTTTGCCCGCATGTGCAAACAACGTAAAGTTTAAGGTAAACAACAACAACATTCTGGGTCGTCGTGTTACCACCCGACGTGCGAACGGTTTCTGTGCAAACTTTGCAGATTACATTTGCTTGCGCTTGATCAGTTGCGGAAAATCCAAACCAATTCCATATAATGGAGGTGGAATTTTTTTTGGCGACCAATTCCGTTTGGCTTTCAGCCATCGCTCTTCATGTGCTACCGCTACACACAGAAACAAGGAGGCGGGTAGGAAAGCGCGTCACTGCCCGTAATTCGCTATGATTGGTGGGTCAGGTTGACGACGTCAATACGTCTGGAGCGTCGGAGCATCAGCATAGAACTGCAATTTATAGAATGTGCCCTAGACGATCCCACGAGCTCTGCAGTTTGAAAGATCGTCTTCACGTTGTAATCCTTCACGATCTAATATCGTCATATCGCCCACCCCTAGTTACAGTCATAAAATATGTGCATCTGCTATTGGCATAGTTATTGCAGAGGTATGCATTGGTATGACTGCCATTAACTTTATGATCTGACCACTGTTTTTAGTTTTCACTGGCGATCCCCTTTGCTTTAATTCTAATGCCTCAATGACAGAGGTGTAATACAGTTCTGTCTCTGTCATCTTCTCTCTTATTTAGAGCCGACAAGAAGGGGAACTCAGCTGTTTGAAAATTACAAGATACCTGGCTCCTGCCTATCTCCTCCCTGCAATATGCTGTATTCTACCACAGCATGTTTGAATATAAGCAAGCCTGCAGCATGATGTGTCCAGCACTAACAATGTGTCATAAAAGGATTATGTTGTGGTACAAAACACCAGGCAGTTGCTTCTTCAGTGAAGGAAGTAGGGTGCTGAACACAAGCCTGTATTTACAGTGACTGAGCCTGTCACTGTGCTGAAGGGAAGATGCTTTATCCTTTACTACTAATGTTACACAACATTCAATTGTGTTATCTATTTAGTAGCTTTTGTTTTCTTTGACTTCATCTTTAATCTTAACAATGGTTTGAGTCTTATTTCTTTCACTTTGGAGGAATTACTAACTGGCTTTGTTACATTCATGAATTAATCTTCCCTGTCAGTAGATTTACCTTTTGTGACACATGGTAATATTAATTGTGGAATGTTAATTCTGAAGCCATAGTGAGGCCATACATGGAAACAGAAGTTTTATTACTGCCCATCTGCTCACAAATACACATTTGTGTTCCTGGACATTTGGGATGTTAGTGTAGCTCTGTCAACAGACTATAATGTTAACAGATACTCTATCTAGACTCTAATTTTAGATAGTCAAGGTTTACAAAAATGTGATCCACACGTGAAAAACATCTTTGTGCTATTCAAGCCTGTGGTTTATAATGGTTTCTAGTGGCCAAGCTGGTTTTTGAGTAGTTCACATTGGTGTAGGCGACTACTGTCATAGAGGGTTTTTACATTATGTCGCAATCTTACCCAACACCTCATACAAACTTGAGAAAGGCTACAAGTTGGCAGTTTTATTGACATTGTATATCACTGTGAAAATACTTGAGATGTAGCCAAATAGCAGTTATCAGTAGCTGCAGTAATGTGTTGCATGCTTTCAGTTGCTACAGTTTTAGATTTCTCTGATCTGATTACTCACCCAAATGCAGAATTGTGTACCACTGTGATTATAGTCATGGTTTATTTGGGTTGCATTCGTGTGTGCGTGTGTGGGCGAGACAGAGAAGGAAAATGTTTGGGGAGTGATGAGGAAATACTATGTTCACTGATGGTTTGACAGGTACAGTATAAAGAGTGCCTACTGCACAGGTTGGGATGTGTCTACTTTTATTTGCTTTTTTATTATATTTATATACATTTGTTTGTGGCTTGGAAGGTATTCATTTGTTGTAAAGTATGTAAAATGTTTTACTTCATTAAAGACGTGTTCCTCCTCAACCTCCTCTTAAAAAATGTATACTATACACCACAATGCACACAAAGCCTAAAAATTGGCAAATTATTGGACCAGTTGTAGCAGCACACATAGGTATTTAAACAGACCCATCAGGTTGAGGATATTGTTGGCAGACTGGCCGGAGATCTGGTTCATTGAACTGGATTATTTCCCTGAGCTGATGGAATCAGGTGGTAACAGCAAATGAATCAGTTGATGTCAAATCTTCAAATCTTGTCAAATGTCAAATCTTTTTTACCTTATTAAGACTTATAAAACACTGTCCAGACCATAACTATATATACACATGGCTACACGTCCTTACATTTACCAAATGTCATTATCACACCATGGATGCAGTCAATAATACCATATCACACATTGTCATAATCGAACAGATTATGATGGAATATCAGACAAGTGTCTTACATTTATCTATGACCTTACTTTTAAACAGGCTTTTAAATATATTGTATTTCACATTTATAATTCATCCTGAAGACTGATCCATACCATCACTCCCTTTATTGAAATGCATATTATGATATTTGATGTCTTTCTTAGAAACATGTTTAGAATACTGCATGGTAACAAATTATTGTACACTTTATACATTATTTGTCCTACCCTATATTCAACTAAATTGTTAAGTTTTAATATCTTTAGTTTTGTGAACAGGCCATTAGTTTTATGATCCACTTTAGTTTTAATTCTTATGGCTCTTTTTTGTAATATGAAAACTGAATAGGGATAGGTTTTACATGCATTTCCCCATATTTTTAAGATATAGGTGAAGAATAACATTAAACGTAAGACACTTGCAACACTATTGACTGATATTAATTTTTAATTTAATTTCTCAAAATGCCATTTGAAGTCTTCCCAGGACAAAATATAAATTAGTGTCATCTGCAAATAAGATAGATGTGAATGATTTGGACACTTTACAGAGATCATTTATATACAAAATAAATAATGTTGGGCCAAGAACCAAACCCAGTGGAACACCACAGTTTACTTTCAAAGATTCAGAGATGTTAGAGATCTATCCATCACTGTACAAAAGTAACAGTTAAAGTCCCCAGCCATCACAGTGTTGCCACCAATCCAGTCAGCACATTTAGAAAAAACACGAGAGATAAAATCATTAAATTGGTAGATGGAAAATATATATTCATGAACAATGCTTTCCTTTAATCTGCCAGATTTAACAAATAGTTTGGACATCAGATATAAGGCAGGTAATTATTGATTAAAACAGTAAACCCCTCTGCTAACCAGTCCCACTGTAACTTATAATGTTTTTCTCAGCATTGAATAATGGCCCGAAGTCTTTTCGCAGAACATTATGATGTCACAGTGAATCAACCTTTTCAAAAAGAATTAACAAAAACAAATTTGCACCAACAGGATGAACAGGATCTTTAACTGTGCAATGCGTCCAAGGGGCCGCAGCAACATCTCAATGTAGCTTAGGTGGGTGTTCCTGTGCAGAACACTGCCACACTGGTTCCACCAAATTCACTCTTCAGCATTTTGAATCTGGCCTGCTGGAGTTCCAGGAGTGGGTGGTCCTCCTGCCCGATTATGTTTCCCGCTTTTTGATCGGGGTCAGCTTGTCTTTCCTCAAGACCTCGATGATGGTTGTTTCAATCTCTTCTCCTTCCACAACTATCCTCTGCTGCTGCCTTGTGGGTCCGGCCTCAGGATCTTCAGCCAGAGGAACTGCATGAGATTTGCGGTTGGTTTACTGTATGTCTTTGTTACAGGTGTTTATGTAAAATATACGATTCTCGCAAGAAGCCTGCATTATTTGTACACATCGATTTGTTACTAATGCATCACTTTGGATGCCCCACCTCTAGTCCCCCAAATCCCTCAAGGCTTTCGTCACTGAGGGTAAAGGCTGACGTCAGATCCTCAGTGGTTGTAGATGGTCCTCTTCCTGTTTCCAACAAGCAGCAAGGTCTTGCTTTCCCTGTCCCTTGACATCTTAGTACTGCGAACAGCATTGTGTGGCCATTCTGGTGATGCCAGACGATGAGGACACATTCATCATTACCTCCTCCCTCAGGAAGCTTTGCTGGAATCCTGCTGTTGCTGTAGATGGTCTGCATATGCGCTTTCACTTCACCCACAAGCAGATCCACTATTATAAGACCATTATATATATATATACACATACATACATACAATACTGTGCAAAAGCTTTAGGCAGGTGTGAAAAAATGCTGTAAACTAAGAATGCTTTCAAAAATGGAAGTGTTAATAGTTTATTTTCATCAATTAACAAAATGCAGTGAATGAACTGACAGAATGCTGTTTTCAAATGAAATTCTCAAGAGGATTTTTCTAAATAATCTCTAAATAATTTTAAATACATCTTGAAATTAAATTATCTGTTGCTTCAGATGATTCTATTCTTGGTTTGCAGGAAAAAAAAATCTCCAATACACCTAGTGCAACTCAGCCAGTGCCTTTTGTCTCAGATACTTCTCCAAGCAGTAAATAGCAATGGGATCTGTATCCATGTCAAACTTGTTGGCAAAGAGGTGATGCTGCTCAAGCATCCATTTTAGGTCTCCAGCACCATATACACAGATTGACCTGACATGGTTGCCATGACACTCTGGGTACACTGCCTCCAGTGAACCCAGTGACCCCTCATGCCACTGCCACTTCACCAGCCGTGCAATTGCATTCATGTCTGACATGTCATATTTAGTGTTGGGCCATGCTGAGCCAGGAACACCAGGGATTCGCTGAATGGTTGCCCAGAGAAATTCATCAGGACTGTAGGTGTCTTTGGCCCACTCAATCAGTGTCTGTATTCGGCTGTCTTCCAACACACTGCGCCCGTAGCCTCGGCTAACCACAATATAGGCATTTCCTGACAGAATGGGCAGGTTGAAGGGAGGTGGCTCCTTCGCTTTTCCTGACCCCTGAGACAGTTGAAACAGTTATGTTATGTTCATTATGGTCAATCTGAATAGAAAGATTTGCAAATAATCAATATGTAATTTTTAATATTCAAAAGAAGTACCTGGATGTTTCCATCAACTATCTTGTAAGATTTTGTCACTCTTGACTTCTTTCCCTCAGGCATTTTTTCTGACTCTAAGCTGTTCCCGCCCTTCAATGAACGCAACATCCTCACCATCTCCAAGTTGGTTTTCAGGGGGAAATCCTGGCCACAAAGGTTGATGAAGTATTTCCATTTTGTGCTGGCTTCATAGAGGTCAGCCATACAGTTAAGGTCAGCCTGGACACGCGGCCAGGCAGCATAGACCACGCTCACAGGCTTGCTGACCATGAAGATATTCGGGAAACAGGAAGTAATTGCCATAATGGTAGAGAAGATTGAGGGATCTGATTTTTTGTCCACATGGATACAATATATATTATGAGGTACATAGATGGCTCGCAGCAGTCGCTCAAAGTTCTGCACCTAGAGTATATGAAAAAATAAATGATCCTTTTTGTGTATACATCAACTGAACTGAATTTCATTTGTAAAATTGATGAAATGCCCTTTTTAATTAATGACTTAATTAAATTGTTTAGACCTACTACACTGTTTGAACATGTATTTGAATTTAAAGTGAGGCTTTAGAATTTACATACCTTATGATGAACAACTATAGAGTAAGCCAGAGGGAAGTCCTCTTCCTCCTGGCTTAACGGGAGTGTTAAGTATTTTCTGCTTAACTTGAATTCCCTGTAAATACACAATATTGAACAAATAACAAAAGGAATGAATATCTGTTAAATTCAGTCCATTTAAATAGTAGTTAAAATTATACAATGACTAAAACTTGTAGTTTAAAGCAACACACCTACAGTCTTTGGTTGCATTAATGTAATACTCATCAGGGATGTGAACACTCTTGCGGAAGTCTTCAGTGAGAGTCAGTAATTTGGCTTGTTCCAGTGCCTGCCTCTCTCCACGCAGGATCTCTGAACAGTTGCACGCTGTCTCTGGGCCGCCATCAGCATCTGTATACTCCAACCAGCTGTAGCTGAGAAAGTAGGTAGGATCCCAGCTTGTTTTTGGGCGACTGAGTAAGGAAAGCATCCATAGTGATCCCAGTCCAAGAGTGATCTTCAGCAACAGTAGAAGCCTACCTCCTTTCAGTAGCCTCATTATTTGAGAGGAGGAACTTAACTATAGGGAGCTTTTACTGTGTGAGTTCTGTATGTAGTTCACCTGCACTTCACCTTTATGTTTCTTTCAAATACTCACTGATTTACTTTTTTCTGCCATTGAAACATTATGCGTCTGAAATTATTAAGGCCTGTCATCATTACAATAAACCAAACATTTTTCTAGTTATTGCTCCATTCTGTACTTTACTGTACTGATTTTCATAGAGTAATGTTTTACAGTGTGTAGATAAGTTCCTGTCTTTCTGGATCCAGGCAGATTAGTTGCTTTACATTTTATTGCCCCTGGAAACAAGATAAGAGAAGAGATATGAATACATCCATTCTTTAGCCAGAAATACAATTTCAAAGTGTAAAATTCAAAAGTGGCCTTAAAGCAAAGTTCCTGTTCCATGTGTTGCCATGCCTGTTGTCATATTTTATATTTCAGGTATAAGGATGTAAAACTGGCAGGTGCCACCTATGACAACTGTGTGTAAAATGTAAAAGTCACCATAAAACACATGTTTCCCTATAGATATTGTTGCCATGAATTAACTAGAAATGTTCCTATTAATAGTCTTTTATCTGTACAGGTAATTGTTATACCCACCAACGTAATAAACCACAAACATAATAAATTTCTCACAAACGTAATAGCAGTTGCCTACTACAAACATAATACATAATTTCTGCAAATGTAGTAGCTAATACATTTGAAGGGATTTGTTATGTTTGTGAGAAGGTGAAAAAAAGAGAAAAAGATTAAATATCTTGAATCCTTCTGTTTTTGTCAACAGTTATATTAACTTAATATTTAAAAGGTACTTTGAAACTGCTGGACCTCTGTTTTCTAGCCCAAGACACATTGATACAAATTCAAACGGATTCTAAGGCTGATGTTTTGTTTTTGGCTGATGTGTTTCTCAGGAACAGCAATGATGTTCCTGGGTCAATTTGACCCAGGGCATGTTTAATTATCCAAAAGTGTCAGAAACCAAAAAATCCCAATAAACATTGTTTATATCTCATTATTAACTCCATTACTAACCATTTCAATCAATATTTAGTGTAATGGTGTTCTTTACCTCTCAGATCATGGTTCAATGAGGATAATTCACTCGTTTTTCATTAAGAAATGCATGTTAAAACTTTTTTTAATGTACTTTGGAAAGACCTACATATAAAATACAAGAGTTTTACATGACATTAATTTTTTTTAAATTTTATTTTACATTTTGGAATTTTTTTATGGAGTGATGTTGATAAATTAACACGAGACACCTCTTCTCTTCATCCAGTGTGACATTAGGGCCTGGGTTATAGAGTAGTGGAAGTTGCTCTACCCACTTGTCCTACACTGTCCTGATAGCTGCCAGCTTGTCTCTTGTCTCTCTCCCATCTGACAGCCCTTGTCTCTCGATTATCAAATTGGATTACTCTGGAGAAAATATGAAAAATCTCCAGAGACATTGTGGCACGAAATATAGCCCTGCCTGTCTCTGCATCCCACAGACTGGCTGTTAATTCATCCTTTGACTTATAGACCCCAGCCAGGATGAGGACCCCCAGATATGCATGTAAATGCATTTTATCCTGCTCCTTCCACTTTCATTTCGAGAACGATTTTCTGTATTGAGTTGGGCATGACCAGCTCAAAAGCTGACTTGATGTCTGTCACACGAGTCACTGCCATTCTAGTGGGCCCTGGCACTGTCTTTATTATGTTTTCTGCAGACAGTTTTGCCTGAAGTATATTTGGGGATGAAGACCACTGTATTTCACCATTTTTTGATGTGAATGTCTTGCTTGGAGGAATATGAATAGCAGTTTCCTCATTTGGTTCATAATCAGAATCATCAGACTCAGAATTGACCTCAAGATGGTCTTCATCTTCAGACACATCCTCCTCTATTTCACTGTCATGATCAAAGATGAGTTCCAGAGCCTCCAGGGTTGTCACTTGTTTACTTCTGCTGCTCATTTTGTAAAGCTCTAACAGAGAGTATATCATATGTAGCTGCAGAGTGTAATGTTGGTAGGACTCCCTTGCAGAGAATATTTATACGTTTTGCCCCTCCCCTGCTAAGTGTCCACTCAATGTGGGTGGACTTTGCCCACGGGAACAGAAAAGGTTTCCGTCAAAAGTCATAACAACACCTGCATTCTCGCACTTTACAGATGAGGTCAAGAGAATAGGGAGAGGGTGTGTGTGTGTGTGTGTGTGTGTGTGCGTGCGTGTGTGTGTGTGATTGGGGTGAAATATGTCTCACAGTTGCAAAGAAACAAATAGTATTTGACACTTTTGACCCCTTTTAGCCTCCACTTTGACTGCCGGGTCAAATTGACCCGAACAGTATCTATGTAATGTAAACATGCAGGGGGGGGTTGCCAAATATTCGAAATGAACCATTTTAATTTTATATGTTGATTAAACTTATTAAGCCAAGCAGAAGAAGTTTCATACCCAAAAAATACTTTTAACTATTTTTTTTTTATTTTTTAACTTTAAAATGGGTCAATTTGACCTGCAACATAACAGGAGGGTTAATATTTAAAAGGTACTTTGGAACTGCTGGACCTCTGTTTTCTAGCCCAAGACACATTGATACAAATTCAACCGGATTCTAAGGCTGATGTTTTTGTCTTTATAAAAAACATTTAGAAAGTTTCCCTATATTTCACTATGGCCCTGAGACTTACCACACTAATACTGAGTAGGACCTCCCTTTGTTCAAATAGCCTCAACTCTTCATAGATTCTACAAGTTGTTGGAAACCGTCCTACGAGATATAATTTCTACTCACTTGTCACCTGTACATTCGTACTGCCAATCTCCTGATCTATCCCAAATTTGTTCTATTGGATTCAGGTGAGGTGACTGGGGAGGCTACGAAAGTACACTGAATTAACCACAATGTTCATGGAAAGGTTTGTGACAACAATACTCAGTTGAGCTGTAGCATTCCACAAGATGTCAGAACCTGTCCTTCCACTGCTGATCTATTACACCTGTAACTTGTTGGATTCTGATGAGGTGAAGTACAAAGAACTAACTGATGTTGACGAGTTTGAGAAAACAATTCGAGCAATGGCTGATTTGCATCAAGGTACCAAGAAAACCACACCTTTAAACAACACCCACCACCTGGGGCAAGGTTGGGACAATTGCTTCCTGCTGTTGATGCCAAGTTTCTAACACTAGCATCTTTGTGCCTCAGCAGAAATCCGGATTCATCACACCAGGATATGTTTTTACTGTCTTCAACTGTGGTTATCTGAGTTATTGTAGCCTTTCTGTCAGCTCGGACCAGTCTGGCCATTCTCCTCTGACCCCTCTCCTCAACAAGATGTTTCCTTCTGCAGTACTACAGGAGAGGCACAGAGGCATCAGGCAAAGGTTCAAATCAGGTAAACAGGCACAGGTCAAAAATCCAAAAAGGCAATAAATACAAAGCAGCCAGGAGCACAAACTACGATCTGGCAAACAACAAAGGCAAACTGACTGATATAGTAAGTACTGAGGGATAAATGAGCAAACAACCAACAGGTGTATGGCAGAATGAGCAGGCTGGCAGCTGATAGGCTCCCAGACAATACAGGGGGAGTCCCAGTGAGTGTGGATTTTGACCAACTCAATTTGAATTTGGTAGTGGCCCAATGAACAAAGCTTTTTATTCTACGGGTTCTACAAGTAAGTCAGTATCTTTTTTTTTTAACAGATCAAGACAAATCTTTGAGCTGAAATAACAGGCTGGGTGGACTTCTTCTGGTATATCAATGGGGGCACAGTATGCTTCAAGATAAGTAGTATAACCATTTATCATTCTCAGCCTGATACAGATGAGCAGTGTTGTTAAACATAGAGTGGAGGACAAAAGAGAATCTGTTTCACACAAAAAGTGTGAACACTCCTGATATCTGATGAAATATGCAAATATCCCTGAATATCAATATATTAATGAAATATATTTGAATTTGCAAAGTAGACAAATGCAGTGCATTTCCCTGCAGGTTTTACTTTTTTAGGCTGCAGAGATAAGTTTACAGCTGCCAGGAGTGTTACATTTCGACACTTTTATTCTGAAATCCAAATTCTCCAAAATCTACTTGGAATTAATGTGTGATTTTTACTTGTCAGACTATGCAGGTTTTTCATGCCAGTATTTTTTAATGCCAATTATAAGGGTGACATGTTTACCGTCGTTGCTCTGTAGTTGTTGTACTTGTTTGGTAAACATGTTCAGGCAGTTGAAAGCTTGTAACACTGGAATGACAGTCAGTACAGGACATAGCTCTGCTATAAGGCTAAATGATTTTACATCTGTCTGTGAGATCAAGATAATAATCTGCACCAAATTGTACAAAGTCATAGATCTCCACACTAGGATTACGTATGATTATTTTTTACATCAAGATCCATACATTATTATCTCCCAATTTTAAGAATACTGATAAACTGAAAAAAATTCTGTATCTGCCCTTTAACCCAATGGGCACCAAAATTGAATGGGTTCTTCCTTTGACAGTGCCTCATACCTCCCCCAGGTTTGGTGCAATTTGGTTCAGTGTAACAGGTAACCAGTTTTGATAATCTCATAATTTTTCATATATTATTTTTTATTATATTATTCATATATCACATACTATCTAAAGACAGATGCCTGATTCCAGATTCCTTCAGATGTTCCTCTGTCATATATCTTGGTGACATTTTACTGAAAATTAAATGAATAACTATGTTGAGTGTATATACTGTATAATTAATGTATAATTTTCATCAACAGGTTGTTTTGGCATGGGCGCTGATTTACAGGCACAATTTCTCTCCACAGAGATTTTATATTTGGAACAACTGTAATATTATATATAAGGACAAGTAATAATTTTATGATAAATGGTTTAACAATGGTATCATACCAGCGAGTCAGTTGCTTACTAAAGAAGGACTACTGTGTAACTAATAAGAATTTCTCACCAGTTACAATGTACAATTAACCAAGAATTTCCCATCAATTTCCCATGCTTGTTATTATCGAAGAAACCCCTTGAACAAGCGGTGGCTAATTGACTTTATAAATAGTTTTTATGTCTTAATGACCCCCATGCAGTAACAACTCTGCTCTTGATAATGGAAAGGAGGAGGATATTACACATTTATCCAACTAATTTCAAAGAAGGTAGCCTACATGTTTGCAATGATGACAGAATATTCTTATTAGATGAGCTCAGCTGTCACTTACACTTCGGTGCTCTTTAAAAAGAACTGATGTCTTAATTCGCTTTGGGAGGTACTTTCAATCCACAAATTAGCGAACATTTAATCACTGTCATTTAAATAGGATATAGCCTCAAAGATGATTTCAATCCTGTAACATTTTAATGCCTTAAATTGGAATTACTGACCGTTTCAGATTCATCACCAACTCTGCTACTGCCGGGGTTGTGTCGAAGTCTCTTTCTGTGTCGAAAGTGTTTCCTCTTACCTTCACCTGAACAGAAACTAACCCGACCATAAACCCGAGGGGGTGTTTCTTTACAAAAATTCAGTTCTTTACATTTAAGAAGGAAATAGAACAACACGCGGCAATCATTATGCTCTCTCAACAAAACAAAGAACTATCAAAACATTGAATGTATGCAATATTTTTTTTTAATTTTCAAGTGATCTTATTGTCATATAGCCTGCTCGCGTTGTATATCTTTATTTATTTTACTTTATATTTGTTTCCAGTCTGTTGTTTTTTTCTGTTTGACACCCTTTTCCTTTTTATTTTTTTATTGTTTCATCTGTTGTCTATGTGTGTGTATCCCGATGTTTTCATTTGATACTGTGTATACTGACTGAAATAAAGGTCCAGGGGCTGTCTGGTCCATGGTTTGGTTGCTTGGGAAAGGATATGTCACCCTCGTGTGGTTGGAGTCAAAGACCAAAGTCAGCTACCAACAAACTTCACAGGTATAACCAATAACGGGCTTAATATATCCAACGTATATCCAATATTATAATATATTGGCTATTAAAATGTTGAACATTATGATATGATTAGAAGAAAAATTGTGGACTGATAACAAATTACCTCATATTTTATTGAAAAATAAACGAAATGGGCTACAATAAATGTATTGCCCTTCCCTAGGTGGGTCGGGAATGCATAATTTTGTAATTGCTACATTTCCTAAAACAATTGAAGGCAACATGTGACTCCCGGCCGACTTTGGTCAAGTGATCACTGCATCAGCAGAAGCGTTTGTGATGCAGTTCAGTTCAACTCATCATGTAACATCACTGGTTCTCTACGAGCACCAGGGCTTCATTATTACCGTCATACTGCAAGTGGACCTGAGAGAAACCGGGACTGTAATTCTCAAGTACTGTATAACCAACACAAAAACCGTTTTAGGAAGTCACCCTGAGCCTTCTGCTGGGGAGAGGTTGTCAGAGGCTTCAGGAGTGAAAGCAAAGAACTGGGGATTCTCATCTATCATTAATCTGTGAGCTGGCCCTGCTCTATACTGCTTTGATTTGGGGGCATTAAGGATTCAAGACTTGTTACTAGGGTAGCCTACTTTATGAGTGTTTTTTAGGACTCCAAGCTAGAACATGTACTGTTTTATGTTATGTGAAACACACAGCTAACTAGCTAACTGCTATCTATAGCAGGTGATTGCAAATGACTGACAATCAATAATCCCAAACACCACAATTTGCAAATAGCCAAATAAATCTAGTAGATCCAGAGATCACATCTCATGGTTTGAGTCAAGACACTGAGTGAGATCGAAGTAGGCAGGCAACCAGAGTATCAGCAACTGAGTAGTGAAATCTTAGAGAAGTAACTGCTCTCCCAGCTATGTCCAGTTTTTATATGGCAAGAACCAAAATCCTGCAAGCTGTAATTCACTGTAATTATATTGACAGATTTCCAGTTATATAAAGTGTTTATTTCATATTGTATACTATCTAATCCATTATGTTGATATGCGAAAGCACTTATTCTGCAGTAGAAATCTCACTGTAACTTGAAGTTGCAATTTGCTGCATTTTCAAACCTATCAAAGATTTCATGAGGGAAGATATCATGGGTGAAATGCTTTCCAGGCTGTTGCAAGTAATTATTCTAGTTTACATTGGGACCAGGGTTACTACATGTAGAGTTAAAAGTTCAAGATCTCCTTTATATTTTAATTCATGTGTTGGTTATAATTTAATCAAATAAATCATTTGATCAAAATATATTTCTCAGGTCATATTTTTTATTTTCACATTTAGGTAATGGAAATACAACTTATTTTCAAAAAACATAAAAACCAGGAAACAATATGAAAAGACATTCGCACGATTGGCAAAGATGATTCCCCTCTTTGTAATCTGCAGTTCTATTTGGACATCTTAAATCAAATTGTGTTTTACAAATCGTTTCCCAATGCAAACCCAGTATTCACTGTGTATGATGATCACTTACATGATTCAAGCAATCATTGAACCATATTTAAATACTTTCAGCAATTAAAACCCCACTGATTTCACCTGTTATTCCATGACTGAACAAAATGATTTTAAAGAACACCAAAGTCAAAGAAGTCAACCCTTTGTAAACAAATTTGGACCAAACTGGAAAAGGATGAGCACGATCTTAAACTGTGCGATGCATCCAATGGGCCTGTAATAGAGGTGTGCGAAAGGTACTCCTTCGAAGGTGACATGGTCAAGCGCACATCAGAGCAAGCATCCGATGTGAGTGAGCACTCACCCTGAGTCACCATTTCAAGATCCTGCAAGAAGAAGTTTCAAGAGAAGCTACCGGGGACCAAAGCCAACCATACCAGATTTTGTAGAGACCCTGGCGAATTTGCACGACTCAAAATCACCTTGGAGAACCTCCTACCAGTTGACAGCACCAAGCTCTTCTACAGCAATGGATTCTCCAAACATTAGGCGAGGGGACACTGTGGCTTTTGAGAGGTTCACTCTACAGATCTGTGCCCTGATGGGTAAGGCTGAGTTGCATCTAGTTGCACCTAGTGCAACTCAGCCAGTACCTTTTGTCTCAGATACTTCTCCAAGCAGTAGATAGCAATGGGATCTGTGTCCATGTCAAACTTGTTGGCAAAGAGGTGATGCTGCTTAAGCATCCATTTTAGGTCTCCAGCACCATATACACAGATTGACCTGACATGGTTGCCATGACACTCTGGGTACACTGCGTGCACAGAACCCAGCGACCCCTCATGACCATCCCACTTCACCAGTCGTGCAATGGCATGCATGTCTGACATGTCATATTTGGGGTGGGGCCTCGCTGAGCCAGGAACACCAGGGATTCGCTGAATGGTTGCCCAGAGAAATTCATCAGGACTGTAGGTGTCTTTGGCCCACTCAATCAGTGTCTGTATTCGGCTGTCTTCCAACACACTGCGCACGTAGCCTCGGCTAACCACAATATAGGCATTTCCTGACAGAATGGGCAGGTTGAAGGGAGGTGGCTCCTTCGCTTTTCCTGACCCCTGAGACAGTTGAAACAGTTATGTTATGTTCATTATGGTCAATCTGAATAGAAAGATTTGCAAATAATCAATATGTAATTTTTGATATTCAAAAGAAGTACCTGGATGTTTCCATCAACTATCTTGTAAGATTTTGTCACTCTTGACTTCTTTCCCTCAGGCATTTTTTCTGACTCTAAGCTGTTCCCGCCCTTCAATGAACGCAACATCCTCACCATCTCCAAGTTGGTTTTCAGGGGGAAATCCTGGCCACAAAGGTTGATGAAGTATTTCCATTTTGTGCTGGCTTCATAGAGGTCAGCCATACAGTTAAGGTCAGCCTGGACACGCGGCCAGGCAGCATAGACCACGCTCACAGGCTTGCTGACCATGAAGATATTCGGGAAACAGGAAGTAATTGCCATAATGGTAGAGAAGATTGAGGGATCTGATTTTTTGTCCACATGGATACAATATATATTATGAGGTACATAGATGGCTCGCAGCAGTCGCTCAAAGTTCTGCACCTAGAGTATATGAAAAAATAAATGATCCTTTTTGTGTATACATCAACTGAACTGAATTTCATTTGTAAAATTGATGAAATGCCCTTTTTAATTAATGACTTAATTAAATTGTTTAGACCTACTACACTGTTTGAACATGTATTTGAATTTAAAGTGAGGCTTTAGAATTTACATACCTTATGATGAACAACTATAGAGTAAGCCAGAGGGAAGTCCTCTTCCTCCTGGCTTAACGGGAGTGTTAAGTATTTTCTGCTTAACTTGAATTCCCTGTAAATACACAATATTGAACAAATAACAAAAGGAATGAATATCTGTTAAATTCAGTCCATTTAAATAGTAGTTAAAATTATACAATGACTAAAACTTGTAGTTTAAAGCAACACACCTACAGTCTTTGGTTGCATTAATGTAATACTCATCAGGGATGTGAACACTCTTGCGGAAGTCTTCAGTGAGAGTCAGTAATTTGGCTTGTTCCAGTGCCTGCCTCTCTCCACGCAGGATCTCTGAACAGTTGCACGCTGTCTCTGGGCCGCCATCAGCATCTGTATACTCCAACCAGCTGTAGCTGAGAAAGTAGGTAGGATCCCAGCTTGTTTTTGGGCGACTGAGTAAGGAAAGCATCCATAGTGATCCCAGTCCAAGAGTGATCTTCAGCAACAGTAGAAGCCTACCTCCTTTCAGTAGCCTCATTATTTGAGAGGAGGAACTTAACTATAGGGAGCTTTTACTGTGTGAGTTCTGTATGTAGTTCACCTGCACTTCACCTTTATGTTTCTTTCAAATACTCACTGATTTACTTTTTTCTGCCATTGAAACATTATGCGTCTGAAATTATTAAGGCCTGTCATCATTACAATAAACCAAACATTTTTCTAGTTATTGCTCCATTCTGTACTTTACTGCACTGATTTTCATAGAGTAATGTTTTACAGTGTGTAGATAAGTTCCTGTCTTTCTGGATCCAGGCAGATTAGTTGCTTTACATTTTATTGCCCCTGGAAACAAGATAAGAGAAGAGATATGAATACATCCATTCTTTAGCCAGAAATACAATTTCAAAGTGTAAAATTCAAAAGTGGCCTTAAAGCAAAGTTCCTGTTCCATGTGTTGCCATGCCTGTTGTCATATTTTATATTTCAGGTATAAGGATGTAAAACTGGCAGGTGCCACCTATGACAACTGTGTGTAAAATGTAAAAGTCACCATAAAACACATGTTTCCCTATAGATATTGTTGCCATGAATTAACTAGAAATGTTCCTATTAATAGTCTTTTATCTGTACAGGTAATTGTTATACCCACCAACGTAATAAACCACAAACATAATAAATTTCTCACAAACGTAATAGCAGTTGCCTACTACAAACATAATACATAATTTCTGCAAATGTAGTAGCTAATACATTTGAAGGGATTTGTTATGTTTGTGAGAAGGTGAAAAAAAGAGAAAAAGATTAAATATCTTGAATCCTTCTGTTTTTGTCAACAGTTATATTAACTTAATATTTAAAAGGGACTTTGAAACTGCTGGACCTCTGTTTTCTAGCCCAAGACACATTGATACAAATTCAACCGGATTCTAAGGCTGATGTTTTTGTCTTTATAAAAAACATTTAGAAAGTTTCCCTATATTTCACTATGGCCCTGAGACTTACCACACTAATACTGAGTAGGACCTCCCTTTGTTCAAATAGCCTCAACTCTTCATAGATTCTACAAGTTGTTGGAAACCGTCCTACGAGATATAATTTCTACTCACTTGTCACCTGTACATTCGTACTGCCAATCTCCTGATCTATCCCAAATTTGTTCTATTGGATTCAGGTGAGGTGACTGGGGAGGCTACGAAAGTACACTGAATTAACCACAATGTTCATGGAAAGGTTTGTGACAACAATACTCAGTTGAGCTGTAGCATTCCACAAGATGTCAGAACCTGTCCTTCCACTGCTGATCTATTACACCTGTAACTTGTTGGATTCTGATGAGGTGAAGTACAAAGAACTAACTGATGTTGACGAGTTTGAGAAAACAATTCGAGCAATGGCTGATTTGCGTCAAGGTACCAAGAAAACCACACCTTTAAACAACACCCACCACCTGGGGCAAGGTTGGGACAATTGCTTCCTGCTGTTGATGCCAAGTTTCTAACACTAGCATCTTTGTGCCTCAGCAGAAATCCGGATTCATCACACCAGGATATGTTTTTACTGTCTTCAACTGTGGTTATCTGAGTTATTGTAGCCTTTCTGTCAGCTCGGACCAGTCTGGCCATTCTCCTCTGACCCCTCTCCTCAACAAGATGTTTCCTTCTGCAGAACTACCGCTCACTGGATGTTTTTTGTTTTTGTTGCACCATTCTGCATAAACTCAAGTTTCAGAATTCAGTGGCAGGAATATTCAAACCAGCCCATCTGGCACCAATAATCATGTGAAATATAAACATTAACTGAAGTTCCTGACCTGTATCTGCATGATCTTATGCATTGTACTGCTGTCACATTAGTGGCAGATTGGACAATTGCATGAATTAGTAAGTGTACAAGTGTTCCTAATAAAGTGCTTGGTGAGGGTATGTAATAACAGAACAGAATTTATTGTTGTATAGTCAGGGGTTGGCAGTAATGAAGTACTTTTACTTGAGTACTGTACTTATGTATATTTTTTCAGAATATGTTGAGTGTTATTTGTTTTGGAAACTAATGACTATTACTCCACTACACTCAAAAGACAAATATTGTGCCTTTGACTCCACTACATTTCTATGAAGTACTCCTTACTTTGAAGCAAAGCTTTTAGTTAGCGAAATGAATGAAGGAATTCGTCACAGGAGAAAATACAATCACAGCCAACTCCTATGCTGTCAGCCATGTTGTGCTTGCTGCATTTTTCTACAACACATCATTTCAGCTGTCTTAGATGTAATTTGGTTAATTTTGACATCTCTTACAAAGCTACATCACATCTTTTTTTGAGTGACAAAAAGAGGAAAACAACAGAAGAGCCATGAGAATGAAAAAGTTCAAGATGCTCTTGCCATTTCAGATTTCAGAGAGAGACGTTGTACCTTATAGATAGCCTACTAACGGCCGTTTAATACCTGGTTTAATTTTTGACAACAGACACTGCTGTCACTGCGCAGGACTGGTGACACTATTTACCAAGAATGCTACTCCGTTATTAGTGCCTCTATGTGGTATAGAGGATTTATCGGATAAAAAATGTATTTGTAATTAAACATTTGGCCCACGGGCCGCCAGTTGAATAGGTCTGTTCAGCATAAGTCAGCATATAGTGGGTTTTTCCATAGTTATTAGTTTTTGTAAATGGACTGTGGAACAATACAACAATATGTTGACATAAAAAAAAACTTTCGAATACATTAGTATTTTTAAAAGCAAGTAGCCTACTCCAGTACGGTATTTGACTGAACAACTTTCACTTGTATTGCAGTAGCTAATATTTGACCAGGAGTATCTGTACTCTGCCTCAAATAATGGATTTGTGTACTTTGTCCACCTCTACTTGAAAATAAAACTAATGCCTCTTCTTTCTTTAAACAAAATCAAGACAAATCTGTGAGGTTAAATAACAGGCATTCAATGAGAGCATCATTATTTTGGCATAAATATTGAAATATTGAATAATAACTTTTGCTCACCTAAACAGCACAACAGATAAATGCTCCCTACCTGTGAATTTACACGCAGCAGATCAGATTCAAGTATTCCCACTTCATCTCTTTTTCTGTTTCTTCCTTTGTTGCTCTCTGATGATTTAAGATCAGCTGGTTGAACCTGTTATGTCAAAGGGGGTGTATAAATGGACTAACTGGTTTGGCGTGACTATAAACACAGTCTTCTTAATCTTCTTAATCCCAACGTCGTCATTTTGTGTTCAGTATGCAGTATGTTAAATGTTCAATGGCATTCATTATCATTTAAATGAAATCTTAAAAAAAATGCTTTTATTTTATTTCCTGCAAATAATCAAATATCTGGGACAGTAATGTACTGAAAATACCTGGTTTCTGTGACAGCTACATTTGTGGACGTTGAAATTCTGCAGTGTTGTGGATATATTGTATTATATGGAACTATTTCATAACAAAGAGTCACACCATGCAGCCTGGCACTAATTTTATATATGCAATATGAAATAACAGTCACATTTAAATACGAGTAAAACGGAAAAGGCTTTGGTGGATCAAAGTGGTAAGACCATGAAAAACACATCACCATGGACAAAATCTCATTATAAAAAATGACCAAAATCAACACATTTTGATATGCTGCACTATAAATAAGTGGTAGGCCTATAAGAATACTTAGAAGACGTGCCAAATGAATATGCTTCAATATAAAAAGGTAAGAAAGTCCTAATTATATCTGACAAGTTGTAATATCTGTTACATGCAGCATCAATTTCTAATAAAAATGCTAAAAGAAAACAGCTCAAACTAAATATTTTTGTCCGATTATGATTTATTGTGTTGAATCTAAAGTGATTTTAAGCTCTGAAGCTTTTAACTGAATGACTCGTTTTGCCTTTAACATCACAATTAACTGTCAACACGAATTTTCCGTGATATCAACGATCGCAGGTTTAACACAATCTTACTTTTCAGAACATTATCTTTATTGTTTGTTGCTGTTGTCATTTGTATAAATTGATGATTTCAGGCCCCGAGCAAGTCCTGTAGAAGTCTTATTACTCCTCCATGAACTCCGCTAGGTTGCATAGCATTTATGAACGCGCAGCGCCAGATCCAGTACGCCGTTTGCTCGTTCTCATAGCAGAAGGGCACGATGGGCGTGACACTCCTGCGCATATTCAGTGGGCCGTATAATGCTGAAGTAACTCGGAGGCCAGAAACTTTTTTGGCGTATGCGCCACGCGAGCAACTTCTATAGAAATGAACGGGCGCCATTTTTGATCCGGTATGCAGTTCTTATAATACATCCATGGTCAAAGGGGGGTACAGTAGGTACATTAGGCTACTTCCTGTCAGCATTTTTCAAAGTAAAACTATTTACCATCCACCTAAGCCTGGTAAAGATTAACAAAGAGTTTATTAAACAAAGAATGGAGGAGAAAAATAATCTGTTTCACACTTATTTAAAGAGTGAAACAAGCGTGAGATTTGCTCAAATCTGCTCCTGCAAATAGCCCCGAAATATCATAAGAATGTCTTAAAGAAATGTTTTGTAATTTGCAAAACACACAAATACAGTGCATTTCCCTGCAAGTTTTTTATTTATTTAGGCTACAGGGATAAGTAGGCTACATCACTAACAGGAGCGTTACAATTTTTTAGACACTTTTATTTTGAAATCCAAATCGTTTAACTACATGGGTTTTCTTGCTAAAGCTCACAAGAGAAAGGCCCTCAAGTACCAGCCCTCAGTCCAGGAGTGCGGGGAATAAGGATGTTAGGCATGGCTTTTCCCTGTGGAGATCAGCTGCAGAGGTTTTCCAGCCAGATCAATGTGGCGGCTGTCACCAGCTCTGGGCCTGGATGAAAGGAGCAAGAAACTACCATATGCATGTATGTGTGTGTGTTTGTGTTTGTGTGTGTGTGTGTGTGTGTGTGTGTGTGTGTGTGTGTGTGTGTGTGTGTGTGTGTGTGTGTGTGTATATATATATATATTTTTTAATTCATACCTATGGATGGTGTGTTTTAACCAACTCTCTGCTCACATTAGATTCTGGAGACTGATTTTGGCATCACAATTTAAGAGTTTCATGACAGAGTCATAACAATGCTCTCAAACTCATCTACATCAACATATATTTTATTTTCATTCAGCTCCTGGACTTATGGCAAGATCTTTCACTAGGACATCATAGCTCACCTGAGAGCCTGCACCTCACCTGTCTGTGTTGCTCAGGCTGCTGCTAACAGGATTTTCAGAATAAAATTATTATTAGTTGAGGAATAGTATACTTGAGTATCCCATATCCCAATCTTTCACTCTTCATCATAATAACCAACGTTTTGCAGAAAACACAAAAACGGGAAGATCCTAAGTTTACAAATTTTATTCAGTAACACTTAACAACAGTAACTTATACTGCTCTTTCTTTGAATTACATCTTGAAACTGAATTACTCCTGAAACTTGATTTGGTTGCTATAGCCTAGTGATATAGACCACCCCTTTGATATAATTTAACTTCTCACCAAATTCCACATTCATAAACACATTTACAAACAAAAACTAAATTCTTTGTATTTATAAAGGAAATAGAACAGCATGAAGGAATGATTACTCCCTCTCCCAAAACAAAAAAGCAATCAAAACGTTGAATGTATCTAATATTTTGTAAAGTTTTTAAATGAAATTATTGTCATATACTCACTCTTTATTTTTACTTTATTTATTTTACTTTAGATTTGTTTCAACTGTCTTGTCTTTTTCTGTTTGACACCCTTTCTGTTTTGTTTTCTCAATGTTTCATATGTAGCTTATGTGTGTGACTGATGTTGTCTTTTGATATTGTGTACGCTTTCTTTTAAGATAAGGAGGGATCCAGGGGCTGTCTGGGCCATGGTTTGGTTGCTTGGGAAAGGATATGTCACCCTCTTCTGGTTAGAGTCAAACACCAAAGGAAGATACCAACAAACCTAGCCCGTAATTGGTACAACCAATAATGGGCGTTGTTGGTATAACCAATAAAAGGCTTGATATATCCACGGGGTGGCTATACCGTCAATTCAATATTATATTATGATTATAATAAGAAAATTTGTGGACTGATAAAGAATGACCTCATATTTTATTGAAAAAAAAGCAAAATACAATAAATGTACTCAATAAATAGGTTAGTTCACACCCCCGAGAGCAAAACTTGGGCTCTTAAATCATCTAGCTGTAAATTTGCGTCGCCTTTCCTTATGTAGGTCAGGAATGCACCATTTTGTAATATCTACATTTCCTACAACATTTGAAGGCAACACGTTACTCCCGTCCGGCTTTGGTCACGTGATCAATGACATCAGCAGAAGCGTTTCGGACGCAGATGAGCTCAACACATGAAACATCACTGGTTCTCTACGAGCAGCGGGGCTTCATTTTTTACCGTCATACTGCGAGTGGACCTGAGAGAAACTGGGACTGTCATTCTCAAGTACTATATAACCAACACATTTGGCTAAAACCGTTTTAGGAACAGGGTGCATCTGATGAAGCTAACAGTAGTTAGCTTAGCTAGCATAGTTCAACTGTTACCACCACTGTTTTGTGATTAAGGTTGAACTTTATTCAACTCGAGGAAACTATTCAGGCGGGTCAAGCTACAGCCAAATACAAGGACGTACTTTGAACTCCACAAGGGTCAGATTTCAGTGTTGCTAGCTGTCAGCGAGGTGCTAGCAGTCAGTACAGCGGGGTTTGATTAGCCAGTCCGACTTCCTTGTGTCGTTCGAGGTCATTCTGTAGCGTACATCTAAGACAGCTAACTATTATCGGTCATGAAAAGTCTTCCATTCTTCTGCCGGGGAGAGGTCATCAGAGGCTTCGGGAGAGGAAGCAAAGAACTGGGAATTCCCACAGGTGAGTTGATCATGTGCCATTAATCTGTAGTAGTTTTTTTGTAACATGTACGACTGTACCCTATCTTACGTAGATAACGTTAGGTCAGTCTGAATCACTCTTATTAACGTGGAGATAGACGAGGTAAGATAATAAACACAGCACTGGCAGTCTGGCAAACTAGTTAGTTCCTAACTACCCAACGGTTTTACAGTATTGATGACTTGAAGACGCCTTTTACGCAATGAGCGCGCATGTTTTTTTTTTTTTTTTTTTTGCGGTAAATGTGAGTTGAGTAACTGAACTTGACAGATAATGAAAGCACTGTTATTTACTCAAATAATAGCTATTATGTAACGATGGCTGTTCCAGAAATGTGTAGTAGCCGCATATCTTATCGATGAAAATATGCAAATAAATATTGCATAATTTAATTGTCCGACGTTGTCACCACCTTGTCAAATCAATGAAAAGCAAATCTTAAACTTGTAATGATTAATAATATATCGCCATTATTCTCTTCATGACCCTGACATTTACCCTCGGATAGTACATGCAGTATTTAAAGGCATTTGGTAGGGGGAAGCCTTAAACTAGTGACTGAAAGTAGTTGTCCGTTCACACAGAGTGTGTTTTACCCCTTGTGATAGTGCTTCAGAATATTTTATATATAATTCAAATTTCATTTATGATATTGAAACATTATCTACAAACATTATTGATGCACAAGGAAAGTTTGCCTAAGTGCCATGTTCGTGATCACTATTTGCTGATTGAAATAATTCACAAAGATCCCTTTTAAACAGAGACAGGTCGCTTGATTTATACCCGGAAAGATGAACAGAGAAGTCCACTGAATATAGAAAGACCATATAAAACCATTTTTTGGAAAAAAAGATCAGCTTTATAAAAGATGATTGTTTGTAACCATGCAGAGCTTTGGATGGTCAAGACGTTTTCCTCTAGTATCCATGAAAAGTGAGAACTGTAACAAATGAATCTCTCACAATACAATAGAACATTTTGTGCATGAATTTCTTGCACTGGTTATCTTCACAGCTAGTTGGTTTCTCCAATAGATAGTGTTCTCTGGTTTAAAAAAGTGCCATTGAGCAGAAACTGACTTAATATCAGACAGAGCAATTCTCTAGCTGACCTTACATACTAATCTTTTTCTTTCCTATCTCCTTCCCATCTTTAGCCAACTTCCCAGACTCAGTGGTGGACAATCTTCCAACAGATATCAGCACAGGAATCTACTATGGCTGGGCCTGCGTGGGTAATGGGGATGTCCACAAAATGGTGATGAGCATTGGCTGGAACCCTTACTACAAAAATACCAAGAAGTCCATGGTAAGTTCAAGAAAAGCGCCATTCACTGCAAACTGTCTGGGGTTTTGTTTTGATTAAATGTACAAGTTTAAAATCTATTTATAAGATGTCACATAGTTGAGCCCACTTCTTCCTCCACAGCTTTGGATAGAAATCAAATTTAGAAAAAGAAAGATTTAATAACCAAAGTTGAAGTTATATTGTACTACACACATCTAAAGAGAATCCTAAATGAATGTGTGCATTCATTAAAGTGTGAATGACAAGTCAGTGTGGTTTCATTCATGATTGCACATGAATGCTGGTTGCCCAATGTTTCCAGGGGTCTAAATGTCACTCTGAATTGGTCTTTTCAGAGGACCAACACAGAGAAAAATGTTGGAACAAATTGAATTAAATAGTCTAATTTGTTTATAACTCTTGTGATCAACTCCACAGCATTTAAGCATGGCAACATGAGTCAAAAAGACTGCTGTGAGAAAAGCTGACAAAATATTGAGAAAAGCAATTTTTTGTACGGTGAAAACTGTAGTAGTAGTAGTACTGTAGTAACAGTCAATATTGTAATATATTTTGATAAAAAATACAAATGTTAATTTCCCAATTTTTTTTGATACCATCATTATTTTAAGAATTACAACCTGCACAGGGTACCTTTGCTTTTTATCACAGTACAAGAATGAAAAAGCAGTGTTGAGTTGACGCTAGAAGACAAAATGAGTTCAGGGTTCAGTTTGACATATGGAGGTATGGTATCTCAATGCAAACGTGCAAAGTCCACTATAAAATGAATACTCTTTGTGTTGAAAACAGAGTAGTGGCTAAAGCCAGCAATATAACACATTTTCAGCATTTATTTGGGAATCCTTAATTCTATACATTTCTGGTGCAGAGGCAAGGCAAGCCATTCTTATACGTTCTGTCTTGATAACATACTAAGAGCAAAGCAGTAAATTTTGACATTTATTGTTCTCTTGTGAAAATAAATGTAAATATGTTTTTGATTCTAGGAGACCCATGTGATTCATATGTTCAAAGAGGACTTTTATGGGGAGATTCTCAGTGTTGTCATGGTGGGCTACATCCGACCAGAGAGAAGCTATGACTCTCTTGGTATGACACCTTTCTCTCTCTCTCTCTCTCTCTCTCTCTATCTCACACACACATACACACACACACACACACACCAACTTTGTGTGCCTAGTTTCAATGATAAGTTTTTTCATACTCCCAGATTTGATCTAATTTCTTCATCTATATCTGAACAGAAGCCCTCATTGCAGCAATCAACAACGACATTGAGGAGGCCAAGGTCAAGCTGGAGCTGCCAGAGCATCTCAAACTGAGAGACGACAACTTCTTCACCAGCTCTCCCAGCTCATCTTCAGCCCTGCCCTCCACCACAGCATCTACGTCACAGACTATTATGAATGGTCACTGACAGCTGGCTGTGACTGCCTCAGTTTGTGTACACACACACACACAGACACACACACAACACACACACACATACACACACACACACACACACACACTGATATCTGTATACACACAGGTTTGTGTATTTTTATTCATTAGAATGCACAGCCTCATTCTGAGATCTCTCAGCTGTCGTCATGGCTGCACATAGACATCATCATAAACAAACCATCTTTTTTATTGTGTTTTTTTCTTTTACTTTGTTAGTCATTCTGTGTTTAAATTTTATTTTTTACTTCCTCTACTGGTTAGTTGCAGACAGTCACTTAATAGATGATGTTCATTTGTTTATATTCACACCAGATTGCTGCATGCAGCTCTTGAATATGACTGCTCCTCCTGTATGTTTGGAATCTTTTGTGTGAGAAGGTACATAAAATGAAATACAGATCTTGGGATGAGGGTGACCAGAAAATACAAACAGCTGTAATAATAATCTGTATTTCAGGAACGACACAAGTATATACTCAGCTCTATGAACACTATTTAGCCAAGGTTGTAAATATGTCACTTATTGAGTCATTTTCTGTTGAGATTCATTTATGTGTCAGATGGTTAGAGAAACAGTCTGGGCATCATTATCTGTAACAAAAACACGGGTAGCACAGTTAGTTGACTTTATGCAACAATGTGGCTAAGTGCAAGGCATCTGTATGAAGACAGGGAGATTAAATAATGAAATTATGTAAAAGGTGTTAAAAGTATCCTTCCTTTGTTCTTTAATTTTGCTCTTGAGAAAATGTCTTTCCTTTCCAGTGTGACACCAGTCTTGTACAGTTTATCACTGCCCTATAGATGAATGACCCTTTACCATTGAATTTGGGGTTTTTGATGCATTATGCAGAAAAAAATCTGAATGCTCGTAAATTGGAATGACTGAATAACCAGCAACAGTTATTTATTTAATTTTTATTATTATTATTGTTTTAAGCATAGGCTTTTTAAATTTCAACATATTCACATGTTCATATTCATATTCAGATGATCTGAGGAACACTAAGGCCAAAGAAGCAAGCAAGTTCTTATGCATGTTCGTAAGTTTTTCTTTTTTTGGACTGCATCTTACCTGATGCTCAGACCTACAGTCCACTAGTCTCCGTGGGGTTTGTTACAGATAGTAAAACATTGATAGGTGAGATGAGATGAAGAAGAATAACGTCCACACCTCCTCTTCCCTACTCTGATATTTATAGAGGGCAACAGTCATTTGAAGTGTTGAGCACAAATTTATATGACACAAACACTCATGCAGAAGTTTGAAGAGAAAAACCTATGCATAATAAGATATAATGCATAAAATTCTTCATATCTATATACACATATTACAGTTTCATTTATTCAGTTCAATTAAATATTTTCAAAAACTGTTGACAAATCCTGTAAGAGGAGTACCCCTTTACAGTGTTTTTAAGTGTGTGTGTGTGTGTGTGTGTGTGTGTGTCTGTGTCTGTGTGTGTGTGTGTGTCTGTGTCTGTTAAGCCTTTACAAAGGAAATTACATGAAACAGTCAAACATTTAACTACTAAGTGTATACAATTATTTGAACCGTTGTAAATAATTGTTTTAAATGAGTGACTTCTATGAGTCCAGCTATGTGATTTTGGATTTTAAGTCCGTATTTTATTTTAGTTTATTAAAGTGTTATTCAGGAGTAAAATATATGAGTGCGTTTTATGAATGTTGATATTTACCGTGTACCAGTAGCTGTGAACCTTTCACAGGAAGCGTGTCACTGTTTTTGCCAGAACCGTTCCCATTCTCAGTCTGATCGTCTTTTTACATTTCATTTTAATCAGTTCAGTTTCTTTAGTAGAGCTTGAAAATTGTTAGCTGAAAGCATGAATGAACCAAAATCCTGCAAGCAATACTTCACTGTAATTATATTGACAGATTCCCAGTTATGTAAAACCTTTGTTTCATATTGTATACTATATAATCCATTATGTTGATCTGCGAAAGCACTTATTCTGCAGTAGAAATCTCACTGTAACTAGAAGTTGCTGCATCTTAAAACCTATCAAAAATTTTAGTAGGGAAGCTGAAATGTTTTCCAGGCTGTTGCAAGTAATTATTCTAGTTTACATTGGGACCAGGGTTACTGCATGTAGAGTTAAAGGTTCAAGACCTCCTTTATGTTTTCATTCATGTGTTTTATATAATTTAATCAAATAAATCATTTGATCAAAATATATTTCTAAGGTCATATTTTTTATTTTCACATATAAAGGTAATGGAAATACAATTTATGTTAAAAACACCTAAAAACCAGCAAACTATATAAAAGGATATTCATGTGACTGGCCTTTTTCTTTTTTGGACATCGTTGGCTGATACCTACCTGAATGTTTTTATTGTCCTAATATCAGCTTCTGCAAATATGCACAGATTAAAAAAAAATACTTGGCTGTATTCAATAATTTCTTAACAATTATTTAATTAAGAATTTAAAAAAAATTATATCAGAACTAACATTCTACCCTGTTTCCACTTAAAACTATTGTGTTGTAAAATACTGAAAGTTAAGTAAATCCCTCAAAAATTGATGAATGCTGCATGCCTAAGGCTCATATTTTCTGTAAATGTCATATTTTCCTGTAATTTCAGATTAGGCCTTATAATGCATCTGGTCTGAAAATCATACTTCAGTCACACTGGGTATGTGAATTTGTTTATAGGTGTCGCAATGCTACTGCACCAACAAGCCCTGAGGCCTGAAGCGGTAGCTTTACATGATAAGGCTCAGGAAGGGAAAGCCAATGTCAAGCTGATGTTAAACCAACGTATGAAGGAGGGACAGTGGCAGATGTCCCTGAGTCAATGTTGTGTCTATTTGTTCAGTCTAGTATGAGATAAGACGCTGGATTCAACTTGTTCCACTGGGGGTTCAGTGTAAAGGTTATAGTTCCAACATATCTCCAAAGGGACTTCATTTTCAGTTTGTGTGAGACTACTGAATATTAAATAGACCAGTATGTTTGTTGGCTATCACAATGTAAATGTATACCCACTTATGACACAGATCAGGAGCCACTTAAATTAATACCGAACTTGCATATGTCAAAATAGGCTCAAAAATTAACTGCATTTATTATAAATTAGCATAGTCCCGATTTCTTACATAACCCAATCATACAGCAGAGCCAATTTCAACATATTACTGAGCTCAGTTATTGTGTTGGTTTGCGTGCGATACAACACATCTGCAGGTTAATTCATAACTTGACTGCACACTCACAAAGTACAGATCAAAATCCAACTTTATTATGAAACAATCATTCACACCACATTTCACTTCAACCGGTTACAGAGAAAAATACTGATTATTTGCTCTTCACACTTACAAGTTAGTGCGATGCAGACCTACTATTATCTCAGTGAGACGATACAAGCCAGATGTGCAGCAGTGAAGTCAAAACATTAAATCACAACTAGAAGAAAATATTCTAAGAGAAACTTTGGGAAACCTGAAGGGGTCAATGTGCTGTATGGAGTGTTTTGTCTCTGAAAAATCAAAGTTCTGTTGATATAAAGTCTGCACCTGCAAATTGTAACTAATATGATTTTATTTTTATTTATACTTCAATGATACATAAGGAAGAGCTTTTTCTCTCCAGTCAAGGACTTGAATGCTTTCATCTGTACGAGTAGCTCTCATCATCGTACTCTAGCTCAATCTCATCTTCATCCAAGAGTCCGTACTTGAACTTGTGATACACTGTCCCATCTTTTCCCATGACAATGACAATATCATCCTCGTCTTCCTCATCATCCTCACATCCAATGATCCGGTCGCTGTACTCGCTAAATGAGGAGGTGGTGGGCTGTGAGGTAACACCTCCATTTGTGTCCAGTTTCTCATAGCCACCTGCTTTGGTTGTGGGTGCAATGGTGAGGGATTTAGATCGGGCATTGAGGAAGAGGAATATCCCTCCACCCACAGAGACAACAAGTAGAACACAAGCAGTAACAAAGAGTTTGGCGGTGCGGCCTTGAGCCTCTAAATCCTTGGCTTCCCCCAACACAAAGTTTACACCCATGATGCACTCATCTGAGAAGGAGATAGAGCAGACCATTAGATTACACTAGACTAATGTTATCTGTATACTGGGATTGTTTCTGATCAATGTGCATTTTACAACATGCTAGTTCCAATGAAATGCAGTCTTGTCTACGATGGCTAGAGACCAAACAAGCTTGGAAATTTCTCGGTACGGGAAACATATTTAGCATCATTCTAAAATACTGCAAACCCCTGTTTGGCAAGAAGATGAAACTTAGCTCTACACAGAAGGAAAGCTGTTAATTAGATCAACTATACAGGGCAACCATTACAAATGGCAGATGCCCTGAAAGACTGACTGATGACGCACATACACATAAACATTATTTTCCAGGTACAAGTATGAATACAAGTATGTATTCTGAAATCAAGAGGAGCAATTTGCATTGACAAAATGACATGAGAGGTCTTTGTGTGTTTGTGGAAAGTCTGTCCTCCAGTGTGCACTCTTTTTTTACCTTCTAGGGCACTGCAGTCACAGCACTCCCTGGGTATTGGCTTATTATCGCGGCGTGTCTCATTCCCGCAGCAACTCAAGCAGCGGCCATCATCAGACAAGAGCTGGCGTGCATGGCACACAGTACAGTTCCACATGCTGGGACCTCTGCAGTCCAGGCAGGACGAGTCACACGCCTGGCAGTTTGTCTCATCGTTTTTGGACTCAGAGGCCTAGAGCAACAGAAGTATTAGTTATACAGCAGTCTAAGTATCACTTTTATACATTTATCTCTGAACAGCCATGCCAAACTGCAGCTAACGCTCTAAAATGTTGTAGCTATGTGTTTTTTTTCATTAGGAAAATATGAAAGGTTAGTTGAATATAAACAAAAACACTCTTTGTAAATGAAGTGAAATGTTGTCAAGCTGTCTGTCACCTGAGAAGCAGCATAGAAGCCTATAATACACTTGGATTGACAGCTGCTACTCATTAAAGTGAAGCCTTCATAACAGGACTGACAGGCCAGAGCGCCCTTATCTGGAAGAGGAGAGACAGAGAGGAACAATAGGAAATAGTGTCATATGTCATTACATAGCTGAGCTTTCGATCAACCAGTAAAATAGCAGTTTCCATCCTGTCTGTCTGATGTGTGTCATACAAAAATACAGTCGGAAAAAAACAACAACATATGACAGAAATAAGCCATGACATGTTTTCTTTACCACTACAGGTCTTGCAGGTTGGATGACACCTGTGACAGTTCTTGGACCAGCTGTCGTGGTAGTAGTTCGGAGGGCAGCTCTTCAGGCATTGTCCCCAATGGCTCAGATACAAGTAGTCCCCCCGGCAACTCAGGCACTTTCTGTTACCATGACCCCAACACTGACTGCAAGAAGGGTCACAGTGCTCGCAAACCATGGTGATGGTGTTGCCAAAGTGACTGAAAAGGAGAGAGGGTATCAATTCAGTTTATTCCTCTAGGGGAGGAGAGGAGAATATCTATAAATCGGTGAGTATCTGTGTGTTCATCTTACCTTTCTGAACAGGTTTCAACGCAGCTGCTCCCCTGCCTAAAGAATCCAGGTTTACAGGTGGTACACTGCACACTGTGACTGCCAACACACGACTTACAGCTGAAGTGACAGCGCTCACACACACGTTCATCCTTGTCCTCGGCATAGTAACCCACAGGACACTCCTTCACACATGTGCTGTCTGATGGAAACAGGCACAGAGTAAAAACACTAAAGGAGAAGTTTGCTTTAGATTGATAAGCAGCACAACATTTAATATAAAAATTAAATAATATAATAAAATAATCAAATATTTTCTACTAATTCTGGCTTAGTTTGATTATTTACTCAGTAGGAAGTGTGGCTCGTTGCAGCGGAGGCAGTTGTCTTTGCCCGGCCCAGAACACTGCTGACAGAGTTTGTAACACTGTTGGCACTTCCCATTCTGGTCCATGTATGAGCGCAGAGAGCACTGATTTAACCACACACAGTGTCCGCTGGCATCTTTATGCCTGCTGGGGTCACAGCTGAGACAGGATGAGGGCTCATGGCCTGAGCAGGTCAAACATGACCTGTCACATTCTGGGAAAATAAAGTCATTAGACACAGCCAACTAGAACCATGGCAAAGGTAGAAAATCCTGTAATGGTTGCATTTTTTTTCTGATTTGTTTAATATCACATTAAGTTTCCAACTTGCTTACCTCTACATTCATTGATAGTCTTATCATAGTAAGCGTTCATAGGACAATGAGCCAGACACTCTCCATTGTAACGGACAGCTTTTGAGTTGCGACACACATCACAGTCATCAAAGCCCGGTCCTTCACACGAGGCACAATCAGCATGGCAACGCACACACTCCTGTTGCTTCTCGCTGGCAAAGTAGCCATCAGGACAATCATCCACACACTTATCCTCATGGCGGAAGTAGTAATCAGCACATTCTGGGAGAGGGAGATATGAAGAGTAATGCAAGATAAGAAGGGCAAAACACTGTTGTTTACATCATTTACACAGTGCAAGTAGTGGAATCTAAGCTAGTTAGTGAAAATTATTAATATTCCAAACTGGACTTTTTCAATTACTGTTATAATCTATGATGAATCATTAAAAAAATAATGAATTTTTAATGAATGTTAGTTGAAATTTTTATTCAACTGAACCATTCAACTTAAAATATATTTGTGTGTATATGTTAAGTATTAAAAGTAGCCTTTTAACTGTGTTTTTTTGTTTTGTTTTTCACTTTTCATGTACATAGCCCAATTACATGACTGGTTGTGATTTCCAAAATGATGAATGAAAGTTAGGATGAATTTATTTTATGTAAATTATACATAAAATTATAAAATGTCACCTTTTTTCCTGTTTCCCTTGTTCCCCTCAGCCCTCACTTCCTATTCCCCACACTGGCTTATAAGAGGCTTGTTTATGTTTAACCTCAGTAGTAATCACACAACTGACACTGACATAATCAAATCACCTGTACATCATCATTTATAAAAAATCATTATTTATGTCATATCAATGCTAACACTAACACTGCTACACTGATCGTACTTACTCTTACAGAGGCCATCATGATTACATTCTTCACAGTGAGCTGGACAGCGACGGCATTCTGTCTCTGTGGTATAATAGCCATCTGGACAGTGTGACCTACAGGAGTGGTTCAGCAGGAAGTTCTGCTTCTCACAGCTCAGACAGTGAGAGGAATCTTCCTGGCAGGATGCACACTCTGGGGCACATGGCTGGCATTTGCCACCTTGAGGAAACCCTCTGGAAAAGAGGTAATGAGATAAGATAACACTTTATTAATCCTAAAGGGAACCTAGAGTGAGAGGAGTAAATGAGGTATCTTTTATGCAAGGGCATAGGTTTGCATACGGACAGTAGGGACATGTCCCTACTAATATTTTGGGAGGAGAGAATTGTCCCTACCAATATTTGAGTGAAGTCGTTTGCACTGTTTGGATTGAAGTAAAATTAGATAATTCCAATGTGGCCTCCAAGAGGCTATGTCTCCAAGACAACCGATTTAGGCTTGCTAGCATTTGATTGACTAAAAGGGCGGGGCCTATCGGAAGGCTCACGTCATGTTGGAACATCACAGTGGTACCTAACTTTACCAGAAAAATGTTAACTGATGTTATTTAACCATATGAGCTACTGTTAACAGCAGTTAGTGTTAGCAAGCTAACCCTGGCTTCTGTATTCTGTAGGCTAGCAGTCAGATTGCTAGAAGGTGTAAAAATTAAATCATGGATATATCAAAGTATGAGTTTAATCTCCATCGAAAAATCCTATGAAAATGTCAGCATGAATACTATGACATTTCTTATGACTTACTATACTATGACATTACTATGTCTTACTATACTATGATGTTTTAATGCCTTAGTATACTATGATTGTTTTGTATGGGACGGACTGGTAGTGCATTGCTTAGCAATGTCGCCTAGGAGTGAGAAGGTTTTGAGATTAAACCCTGGGCCTGGTGCATTATTGTGCAGAATTCACATATTCCCCCTGTGTCTGCGTGGGTTCTCTCCGGGTACTCCGGCTTCCTCCCACCCACCCTCCAAAGACATGCACATTAGGTTAATTAACACTCTAATGCCTTACTATATTATTACTTTTTTAATTCTCACTATAGCCTAACTATACTATGTCGTTTTTATGAAGTTTTTATGCCTTATTATACTATGTAGTTTTTATAACGTTGTTTACGCCTTACTATACTATGACGTTTTTATGATGTTTTTTATGCCTAAGTATAAAATAACCCCCCAAAGAAAAAGGACCTGTCTCTACATCCACCCTGAAGCACTGTGCTGACCAGTTGTCTCCAGCTGAGCATGCCTGACTCCACCTGCAGGTGGATCACTGAGTTCCTGTCCGATAGGTAGCAGCACGTAAAGCTGGGGAAGCATATATCCGGCACCCGGACCATCAGCACCGGATCCCCCAAAGGCTGTGTCTGAGGCAAACAGGAAAGATTGTAGCCGACCCCTCCCACCCTGGACACAAACTGTTTGAGTCACTGCCCTCTGGCAGGAGGCTATGGTCCATCAGGACCAAAACCTCCCGCCACATGAACAACTTCTTCCCTACTGCAGTTGGCCTCATTACCAAGGCTAATGACCCCCACTGTCATTGTATATATTTATATTTATAGTTATTCTTTTCTATAATATTTCTTCACTTTTTATTGTAAATATTTTATCTTATTATTAAAATTGTCTATTTAAATCTAACATATCAGACTTGCAGTACTTGTTTCATTTTTGTTTATATTTCTTTTCTTCTTATTATGTTTACTGTCATACACCAAAACACCAAACAAAATTCCCTGTATGTTGAAAAACCTACTTGGCAATAAACCAATAAACCAGATTCTATGACGGTTTAATGACATTATACACCATATACACCATATTATACTATGTCTTTTTTATGACTTTTTATGCCTTACTATATACTATGTCGTTTTATGATGTTTTTTACGCCTTAATATACTATGACGTTATGGTGACTTTTTTATGCCTTACTATACCATGACGTCATTATGAAGTTCTTACGTATTACTATACTAGGTCGATTTTAAGTTTTTTATGCGAGAATATACTATATCATTTATATGATGCCTTTTATGCCATACTATAGTATGAAGTTTTTTACACCCTACTATACTATGATGTTTTTTACCCTCTACTATACTTTGACATTTTTATGACTTTTTATGCCTCAGTATATACTATGTTGTTTTTCTGACATTTTTTACGCCTTAATATACAGTACTATGACGTTATGATGACTTTTTATGTCGTACGTTACTAGGACGTTTTTATGCCTTACCATACTATGTCGTTTTTATGACTTTTTATTCCATCCTATACTATGACTATTTTTTATGCCATTCTCTGCCTTACAATACTATGACATTTATTTACTTTCTATGCCTTATTATACTGTGATGTTTGTATTACATTTTATGCCTTACTATACTATGATATTTTTTATGCCTTACTATACTAAAACATTTTTTTATGACTTTTTATGCCTTACTATACTATGACATTTTTTATGACTTTTTATGCCTTACTTTACTATGACATTTTTTATGACATTTTATGCCTTACTATACAATGACATTTTTTATGACATTTTTCATGACTTCCTATACTATGACATATTTTATGACATTTTATGCCTTGCTATACTATGACATTTTTCATGACTTTTTATGCCTTACTGTGCCATACTATAATATATCATTTTTATTACTTTTTATGTCTTACTATAGTATGACATTTTTATGACTTTTTTATGCCTTACTATACTATGACGTTTTTTATGCTTTACCATACTATGACTTGTTTATGCCATATTATATGATGACGTTTTCATATGACATTATGAGGTATTTAAGCCTTACTATACTATGACATTTTTTAAGACTTTTATGCCTTAATATACTTTGACATTTTTTTATGACATTTTATGCCTTATTATACTATAACATTTTTTATGACCTTTTATGCCTTACTTTAGTATGACATTTTTTTTTAACTTTTTATGCCTTTCTATATTATAACATTTTTTATGAGATTTTATGCCTTTCTATAGTATGACATTTTTTATGACTTTTTATGCCTTACTATAGCATGACATTTTTAAAGACCTTACTATACTATGACTTTTTTTGCCTTACTATATTATGACGTTTTTTTATGACTTACCATACTATGGCGTTTTCATTACTTTTTATGCCTTACTATACTATGTAATTTTTCATGACTTTTTATGCCTTACTATACTATGACCTTTTTTTAATGACTTTTTATGCCTTACTATACTATGAAATTTTTTATGACGTTTTTTATGCCTTACTATAACATTTTTTAAACCTTACTATACTATGACATTTTTTTATGACATTTTATGCCTTCCAATACGGTGAAATTTTTTATGACATTTTGTGCCTCACTATAATATGACATTTTTTTGTGACTTTTTATGCCTTACTTTACTATGACATTTTTTTATGCCTTACTATGACATTTTTTATGCCTTACTATAAAATGACGTTTTTTATGCTTTACTATGAAATTTTTTATGACTTACCATACTATGGCGTTTTCATTACTTTTTATGCCTTAGTATACTATGACGTTTTTATGACTTTTTATGCCTTACTATACTATGACTTTTTTATGACTTTTTATGCCATACTATACTATGACATTTTTATGCCTTTTTATGCCTTACTATACTATGACGTTTTTATGCCTTTTTATGCCTTACTAAACTATGACATTTTTATCACTTTTTATGCCTTACTATAATGACATTTTATGCCATACTATACTATGACATTTGTATGACTTTTCATGCCTTACTATTCTATGACGTTTTTTATGCCTTATTATGCCATTTTTTATACCTTACTATACTCTATTTTTTTATGACATTTTATGCCTTCCTAAGCAATTACATTTTTTATGACATTTTATGCCTTCCTAAGCAATTACATTTTTTATGACATTTTATGCCTTCCTAAGCAATTACATTTTTTATGACATTTTATGCCTTCCTAAGCAATTACATTTTTTATGACATTTTATGCCTTCCTAAGCAATTACATTTTTTATGACATTTTATGCCTTCCTAAGCAATTACATTTTTTATGACATTTTATGCCTTCCTAAGCAATTACATTTTTTATGACATTTTATGCCTTCCTAAGCAATTACATTTTTTATGACATTTTATGCCTTCCTAAGCAATTACATTTTTTATGACATTTTATGCCTTCCTAAGCAATTACATTTTTTATGACATTTTATGCCTTCCTAAGCAATTACATTTTTTATGACATTTTATGCCTTCCTAAGCAATTACATTTTTTATGACATTTTATGCCTTCCTAAGCAATTACATTTTTTATGACATTTTATGCCTTCCTAAGCAATTACATTTTTTATGACATTTTATGCCTTCCTAAGCAATTACATTTTTTATGACATTTTATGCCTTCCTAAGCAATTACATTTTTTATGACATTTTATGCCTTCCTAAGCAATTACATTTTTTATGACATTTTATGCCTTCCTAAGCAATTACATTTTTTATGACATTTTATGCCTTCCTAAGCAATTACATTTTTTATGACATTTTATGCCTTCCTAAGCAATTACATTTTTTATGACATTTTATGCCTTCCTAAGCAATTACATTTTTTATGACATTTTATGCCTTACTATACTATGACGTTTTTTATGCCTTATTATGACATTTTTTATACCTTACTATACTATATTTTTTTATGACATTTTATGCCTTCCTAAGCAATTACATTTTTTATGACATTTTATGCCTTACTATACAATGACATTTTTCATGACTTTTTATGCCTTACTATACTATGACATTTGTTTTATGACTTTTTATGCCTTACTATAGCATGACATTTTTAAGGCCTTACTATACTATGACTTTTTTTGCTTTACTATATTATGATGTTTTTTTATGACTTACCATACTATGACATTTTTTTGACATTTTATGCCTTACTATACTACAACATTTTGTAGGACTTTTATGCCTTATGCTTACTGTACTATGATGTTTTTATGCCTTTTTAGGCCTTACTATACTATAACATTTTTTATGACATTTTATGCCTTACTATACTACAACATTTATTAGGACTTTTAACCCTTACTATACTATGACATTTTTTAGGACTTTTTATGACTTACTATACTATGACGTTT